AATTTATCCCTTTATATAATACCAATATAGAAATAGAGGGGAGGTGTTGCCACACTTTTCCTCACCCATGTGTGTATGTATCACATAACATGTATTGGTAATTCAATGAAACTTAAAACACTTGATCATAACACAAAACGTAGATGAAAATCTTCTTGTTAGATATTACCAGGATTATAATGACTTGATTAGATATCATGCTAATAATAAAGTCTGTGCATAGCCTATATTATTCTCTTTAACAAAACAACATTAAACACAATCCTGGATTTGTTTTATGAAACAGTTGATGATATTAAGTTCTGAAATGGTTGCCGGTGAAGACATTTTACTAAAACAATGTACTTTACTCAGAAGTACTCAAGTTTTAAAGATATTTATTTATAAGCATATAATGAGTTTATGTTTGACCTTTCCTTTTCGTCAAAGTTATGTTAAAATATTTTAAAGAAGTCATTTACCAAAACTTTACACATGGTTATATATTGTTGAAATAGTTCAAACTACTGTTCTCTGTCTATAGTAAATGTTGACAATACGTTCACTAAGATATTATTTCAGATAAGTTTAAACAGACATATTTTATTTTTGCCATCGCAAAATTTCAATGCTATGTAACTGGCATGCATCATTCAGAAATAATATTTACAATTTATATATGTACTATATACATGTGTTTTATAGTTACGTTTATTCAAATATACGTGCGATATTTATGTACAACATCATACAAATACGTATACACATTCAAACGTGCTGAAATTACTTTTGTTACATTTGCCTCCATTTCAAAAGAGCTAAGAATTTAATATCCGTCCTAAAAAGATTAACAAATTTCTACAACATTTCTTTTGTCCTAATAAATTGTACTGAAATCATACAAGAACCTTTGCCAATTATGTCATAAAAGAACACATATAATCATCATAACATAAGATTGGTCGACCTTAATTTAATGTAAACCTTTAAACAATATATGACTTACCCTCGATGTATCGGCCAAGGTAGGCCAAGTTTCGCCAACATCTATATTTGTCTCCACAAAATTGGTAGTCCCATGCAAACAATTCCCACTGGTAGGTACATGCTGGACACGGTTCAACAAGATTGGCAAACATACCGAGCTGCATGTTTGGATTGAACCTTTTCCCATCAGATGACGACTTTAAAATGTGTGGTATCTTAAAACTGAAATATAAAAAAAGACTGGTCATCAATCATGGCGATACACAAACAAATAAATGATATATAAATGATGTTTTTACAAAAAATAATCAATCTTAACCTCATAACCTGCTTAAACAGACATGATTAAGCCTTTGTCATCAACATAGAGCCAGCTCAGCCTGCACAAACGAGCTGACAGACCAGGCTCTATGCTGTAGGTAACTGAATTTTTGTATTGTTATTTAGCAATCTCTCAATTTTAAATGGACTTTTCCAAATTAAAAGGCTGTGAAAATCCATTACATACATCCAGTAGGTTAAGTATAAACTACATGTATATAAAAACAATCGAACATTCAAAATCCAGTTATATAATTTTTATAAACAGAAATATATTGTTATTTTGTAAATTGTTTTAAAAGAGTTGATAATAAATAACAGGAATATCTTTTTAAGTGATATACATTTTGTTCCATTTCAGTAGTCAAAACAGTCTGTATGCATCTATGGTTGTTTTAAGTGAAATCAGTATGAATCAATAAAAGAAATTCACAAATGAACATTTACTGAATTGGCGGGCAAAATGATGGCTTATTGAACAGGACATCGGTTACATCGATAAAAGCTGTCTGATGTCCAAACATCGACCCAAACCGCAAGAAAAAAAAACAAAACAAAAAACAACACCAAAACCAAAACAGACACACACACACAAGCGCACACGCACGCTCGCGCGTACACACACCTTTAAACACGCAGTAAAAACATACCTCATTTCAAATTTGGGTGGGTCTGCAGTTGCTACTTGTACCTGAGCATAGGAAGAATTTTCTCTTTCATCTTTTCGACTGGAAAATAGTCAGATTTGAAATTCGAAAGTTTAGTTCTTTTCATATAAATCAAAAACGAGAACAAAGCGCAATATTGAAAGAACATATTTATCCGTCTTTGTGATTATCATTACCGAACCCCTTTTAAAAAGACATAGCACAATGATCCAGATATGGACTATGAATAATTGTTGAGGGTTTCCGATTGGTTATAATTGGTACCCATCTGCTTCTATGGAATAAAAAATCTCATCCCTACATCAGGAAATGATCCAAATTCAGGGTATGACATTTTATACAAGAACAACGCAAATGTTGTTAATCCAGTACAAGCGTTTTGATGGCGTTTGACGATAAAAATATTTTATTTGTCTCAGTATTACTCTTTTAGATAAATATTTACTTGTTATCTTTGCATCTTTCGTATTTTAAATTATCAATATCTCTAACATTTTACCAAACCATGTCTATTTTTAAATATCTTTTTTAACAAAATACAATAATGTGGCACACTCACATCACCAGCTTAAACTCGTATGTATGCTCAGGTGTAAGTATTTCCGACCAGAACGAGACAAACCCATTAAAATATTTAAACCAGCCGGGTCCAGTCTGAAAACATCCACCTGGTAAAATATGATAAGAACAACAAATTAAAAAATTCAGCTAGTCTACTATTTTGATATTACGTTTTCCGTGTATTCATCGTAATTAACTATAAAATGTACTTATCATTTAGAGGTAAATTCCCCCCTCCCCCCAAAAAAAAATTCTTTGTAAAGTGCTTTTCCAAATTATTGAATACATATTTCTATATTTCTGTAATAGGTACTAAAATTTACACCATATAATCGAGTAAAATTGATTTAAGAAAGCCGGTCGCTCCAAATGGCTTCCAAGATGGCTTCCCACTTGTGTCTGTCAGTAAAACTGACAAGATGACAATAATATCGTTGCTGAAAACAAACAAAAAGTTTATGATGTTATACTAAAATATTACCTGTATTAGTGTGCAAAGGTGGAAGGTCACTAAAGTTCCTTGGAATAACCTCTACTGACATATCTGGGAACGTTTCGTTCAAGGTCATGTCTCGACAGGCCATCATCACAGAATCGAAGACCTTTTAATAGTTTTTGTATGTACTTAATGTTACTGTACGTATTCATATTCTTTAAACTATACAGTATATATAATTCTTTTCTCATTATTTTGGTAAAATAATTTTATTGCAGAAAACTATTCCAACTAAATATGTTTAATTTGAATAAGACAATGGATATACCGTATAGGGAAGATGCATTCCCTATTACTGGTTAAGTTAATACGGTCCTATCTGAAGAATAAACTACCATTTTTAATGACTATGCTTTTATAAAATGTTAACCTATTAAAGTGTATGCTTTTATGAAGTATTAACTTATTAAAGTGTGTAGAACTTAAAACGTAGCAAATCTGCTCTGTATGTCCTCGTGTTTTTTTTTAAAAGACTATATAACAATAATCATTATTTAAATGCTAGATTCGAGCATAGTTTTCTAGTATCTTTAAGTTGGAGGATATCTAAAAAAGATAAATGGGGACAGTATTTGTAAATCAGGATACAAGGAAGTATAATTTGTGTTTACGCAGATGTTGTTAATTTAAATGCTGCAATCAACGATAGAAATTCAATCTGTTATATAAGAGTATATTAATTTTGAAACGCAAAAAAAATAAAAGTATATCAGACAGATAGGTAGAAGAAATAAGTGAAAACAATTTTATTAGAGGACTACAATATTTACATTTTCTTGTCCATTTATTTCATCAGGGTCTTTTGAGAATATACTCGGATGCAAAGTTAATAGATTGTTAGGTCCTATTGTCATCATTGAAATAGATCCATTAAATATTTGTGGGACAAGTGGAGATCGTTTTATTTCAATGTATGTCTCAGCTTTGCTGGAAAACTCTTCTTCGCTCTCGTTTGGTGTAAGCATTGTGACCTTAAATATATTAACAAAAGTTTTACTCAATTATACGCGTAATGAACATGTCATGCTTTTATTTAAAAAAAGAAAAAAAAAGAAATCAAATTACAATGACTTAGCCACTAAGATACCAAACAAAATCGCTACTCTGATTCAATTTTTGTAAACACTTTCTAAACAAAAGAAATAAGGCAAAAATAACAAAAGTTAAGCTTGTAAAAACATTGCTTTAAATATTTGACTAACTTCATAGTAACAATATAAAGGTAAAGAAGTTATTTACCTTGTAGAATAAAAGATAAACGCCGCATTCCAGATACAAAGGATCAAAAGCCAATTCTGAGTTAATCGACGAGTCTACACCTGTAATGTTTATTTCTCTGATCCGTTCACCAGTTGTCCGTTCTACTAAAAATGCAGTCCAACGCTTTTTATTACGGACAGTGTTTGGGCATGTGATAACATCAGTTAATCCGGTGATCTTAGCTCTTTTACTTCGGAGGAATGGCATTGGAGTACGGAAATCTCGAGAACGCTCTCTTATGTTTATATTTGGTGCAATGCAGTCAAGAACCCGAGATTGGGAAACTTATTCGGTTTTTGGTTGAAATTTTAGTTCCACCCAAAAAATTTATCGTGAATGCCATCAGTAAAAAAATAGTGTTCTAAATGTGAAAAACGTCCGAAAAATCTGAAATTTTGCGGGGTTTTGGGAAAAATTTCCTGGAAAGTTAGAAGCCGCAAGTGTTGTATCCCTAAATGTACCCGGGATCCCCCAAAAATTCAAAAATCTTTTTATTTGCCAACCCAAAATTACAGTTGGACAAACATTAAGGAACTAAAACATGGAAAATTTTTAAAATTCTTTTTCTTGAAAAAGGGTTTGGGTTTTTGGGCCAAAACTAGCTATGGGTTTTTAAATTTTCAAACAGGTCGCATTTAAAATTTTAAAAACTGCATATGTTCCCCCGCGGGGCCCCGGGATGTAAACGGTGGGCCTTTTGGGGTTATGGTTTTCGTATAATCTTCCCCCGGGTAAAAAAAAAAAATTCTGTTTGGGTTTGATTATGATTATTTTAGAGTTCAAAAAACCGTATCAAATTCAAATTGTACACATCGTTTTCAATTACATTTATTGTTTTATACCAAATCTATAATATTGATATTGTACTCAAGTTATTCTCCTTTTGATATAATGCAAAAAGCACTGTTTATAAACGAGTCTTAATAAGTGGTGGTATGAAATAAAGGTCACTTTATAATACTGATTCCATTGGACTCGTACTACATGACTTGTATCTTGGACGACTTGGGAGGTAAAAAGATTTTTGCACTCCCCTTTCTTCCCCAACACTTTTTTGGTGGAACCAAAACAACTTATAAACGATGTATGTTGTATAACAAATGTTGGACTTTTCTTTAAAACCACAGTATTTCAGATTTTAATACCGGTAACATATATAATGAGTTGACAAATATACAATTTATAATATTACATTATTATAAGACGTTTGGAGCTCCGCAAGTGTAAGTAAGAAAATAGGGTATGCATGGTACTTCTTTCCACGTTATCCAAGTACTATTCAAGGAACTTTGTGTACGTGTGATTAGAATAGAAACAGCTCTTACCTCAGGAATACTCAATGTTATATTGTCCTTCTCCGTCTTATTACAGCTGTATATATTGTCAGTACTGACGGCCGATACGTCATACCAAACCAATGTTCCTATACATGTATGTTAATATGCAAAGTGTAAACACATGCCATTACACTGACTGGACCAACAATTTTGTAACAAAATGATTTCATTGTAACCTTCTTTATACCCCTTAACGAATATTTTTGCAAATGTTGGTTAAAAGTTTTTACTTTATTTCGACGATGTGTTCAATGTATGCGTTTTAGTTAATAAATTAGTTTTAATTAGTTTTATAGTCAATTTATAGTAAAATGGTTGACCAGTTTGCCGCATTTTGTTTGTTGTATGCATCCTACTCAATGAAGGATTTTCATGAACACTGTTGTCAAATGATTACCATTCGCAATGCATAATGCAATTATATCTGCTCAAGGTCATTGTGAAGATCCGTGGGTTAGAATGTCTGAGCATTCATTTTTATGTGTCCGAAAAAACAGCACTCAAACCTTTTAAATAAATTTCAGGAAATTGATTTCGAAAATTCAACATATTAAGGGTTTTTAGCAGCTTAATGCAATACTTGTAGATAAAAGTAAGCTATGGATGTGAATATACATATCATTGAGAAAGCCTTTTGCATGTTTCATTCATTTCGAAAACTTAAATTTGAATATTTTATAATGATTGAATGGGGAAGTTGAATGTTTGTTTTTATTTAATAAGGATTTTAATTCTATATTTATACTAATTTGAAAAAATGTAGTTAATACGTTTCATGCTAGTAGAAGGATCTTTCGATACACTGTTAAGTTTATGTTTATATATACAGTAATTATAATAATAAAAATATTCACAGGGTTATAAAACAGTTTATTACATGAATATTTGTTAATGTATAGTAAATATTAACAGTATTGATTGCCATTATATTTATGTATAACATGTGTACCTTTTGCAAATGTTGGGAAAATGATGAGCTCCTCATTACCACTATATATATTATTCAATGCACCAAAACCTAAGGCGGGCGGACTACCCAAAGGTAACGCTGGAATACGCATTACCGTAATACTGACGGCAGAAAAATCTTCATAGCATCCCGTCTGAAAAAAAACCATATCAAATTGAATTTCTTGTCATAAATATGTGTCGTGAATAATGGAGCTAGGTTATCAGAGAAGAGAAATGATTAAGGTGGTAATATTACAAAAAAAGAGAACTAATTGCCGATTAACTAAAAATCAAATAATGAAAAACTTTGATTGATTCCATTACAAGTGTTGAAGATTACAAGTGACGTCATATCACATAAGCCGGTGCTCATGGGCATGACAGATGTTGCTCCTTATATTATACACTCACTTGAGTTTGTTTACGTTAAATTGCAGCCGAGTGATCTTTCCATCCCAGAATTTCCAAAATTTTAATATATATGATATACATGTATGAATGTAATTATCTGTAGATATAAACAGTTTTGAGATTGTCTGTATCAAATTAAGTAAATTGTCACGTGAAGACAGCCTGTGTTTGAAAATGGTATTTATATTCAGTTACATTGTTAAAAAAAGACGGAAAGAGTACTGTCGTGGCCACGAGATAGCTAAGTCTTGGCCACGAGATTAATAACCAATCAGATTACACCATTTATATGAATTTCCATAATTAATTAGACATGTGTTATAGTACAAGGATGCCCCTATTTCACCAGCCTGTAAAAGTGCCATTTATACTACTTATTGACTGGTCAATAATTTTACATTTAGCGTCACTGTGACCCTGATTTTTGACCCAATGGTCTCGAAATTATTAAATGTCATCTACTGATCAGGTGCAATGATCTTTCTGGGTTATATAAATTATGGCATATCCCTTCTTAATTATTTATCAGACAAGGATTTTACATTATAGGCTATCTACTGTCCATGCGCAATGTCTCTTCCAAATAAAATAAACCAGGACTTATTCCTTCTCATGTTATCGTATAAACATGCTTAACAGGCCGTAGTACGTATACAAACTGACCAATTCGCTCACAAAAGTGTCCCACAAAGAGCTATTATAGTAAAAATAAATGTCTGATTGACCTTGGAATGTGACTTTCTAATATGATCCTAAGGACAAGTTCAAAGTGAATATCTTCAGTATTTTCAAAGATTAATGTTGCATGTTAAAGAAAGTTGTAAAGTTTAAACATTCATAATATATTTAGTGTATTCTGATTGGGTAATTATCTCGTGGCCACGACTTAGCTATCTCGTGACCACGACTTAGTATCTCGTGGCCACGAGATAAATAAAAAGACACACATATGTCACATTTGTGCCACCGTACATTTATGATGTATCTATATTTCTTTTATTGTGCAGAAATCAAATTACAAAATATGGAATTTCAAAATATAAGTATTTAATGATTTATATTTACCAGGATATTTTTTACACTTTCAGATGCATCATTATAAATTCGTATCTTTGATATATAATGGCCACCTTCCGCATAGCTATAAAAGTGGTTTAATGTTTGTGCGAATGTCTGAGAGAATAATGGCGAGTTGTCACCAAAATCAATCTCAATTGTGGCTTCGTCAGGTAATGGAACTCCATTATATATGATACTTATGTCAAATGTGCCTGAAAAAAGAAGATTAAAAAACATTTTTCTACCGAAAACATTTACGATTTTGATTTATAAATGCAATGGTTATGTGTGACAAAAGCTAACATAAAGCCAACACTATAGGACTATTTTGAATGTTGGATGAGAGACAATAGCTGTATTAAAGAGAAATTATGCCCATCCAAATGTATATAGTGAGTGAACAGGCGAACAAGTCAAAATAAGTTTACATTTTGCAAAAAAAATATGCTTATTTACTACACATGGACGATAAAAAAATCACGAGGTCCAAATCACCCGTGACGTTTAGTTAATAGAACAGATTGAGGCAGTCTTTTTATATTTAGGGCAGACTTATACTTAATCCTACTGTAACCAACTGTTGGTTTATCACCCTAACAACAGTCAATATTTTAAAATATATGAGCCGGGACGTGACAAACAGGAAATACATGTAGTTCGACACAATCATTTGATAGTTATAACTTTTAAGATACAAGTTAAGGTTATAAGAATACGTTCTCTTATAGTAAGAACGCGTTGGTTTGAAGTGGGTATTGAGGGGAACAATTCAGTTTAAGTTTTAAGCATGACAACATCTACGAGGCTTCCGGTTAATTTTCAAACGACTGTGGACATTTGATATGTGTCTTCTAAACTGAGCAAAACTTATAGATCTCGGTTTCAATACATCATCAATGTTTAAGTATAATGATCAAAGAAATGAAAACAAAATTAAGATTTATTATTATCGGTGATGACTTGTGATTCTTGTTTGTTACCATTTTAATCGACAAAAACATATGCTAATTAAGTTGTGTATGACATTGAAAGATAAAACAAAATTCAAAGAATAATCAGGATAAAGTCCTAACGATCAGTTCACTAAAATTTAGATGAAAGTTAAAATATTCAAAATAAGTCGATGTCATATTGTATGCATGGTATAACTGAGACATAAAATAATTCTATTATGTCCCAGATAGTACACATGAAATATCTTTTATCATAATAAACTAGCACGAATAATTAAAAGAGTATAATTACAAGCTGGATTGACTTCTTTGTCTATTGGAGCGTTCGGTATTATTACATCAAACTGGTCTGTAACCGGATTCAATATCTTGAATTCATGTTGACAGGTTTTATCCTCCATTAGACTCACAGCTCGAATGGACATCGTGTATGTTCCGGTTGTGGCATATGTGCAACTCTCTGTATCTTGTCCATCAGGGCTCTCGTCTGTTACAAAAGATAGCTCAATAAAAAATATTTACTGGCAACTGACTCTACTCATGCGACCAGTGTAGAGCATATCCATGGTCTTCACTGGTGGCATGTGAAAAATATGTGGTTGCCAGCATGGATCCAGACCAGCCATCGCATCCCCGCAGTCTGATCAGGATCCATGCTATCTACTTGTAATAGAGTTGGTAAGCGAACAGCATGGATCCTGATCAGACTGCGCGGAGGCTGGTCTGGATCCATGCTGGTGCAGACGCACTATGTTGGTTTTGTCGTGACGCGGCTCATATCTCTATAGAACTGCAGGTGGGCGTTTCCTTAAGCAACAGAAGTATGTAGGAATTCTAACCAAATACCTTTTATCATAAACATGAGTTTAAGTATTTATTAAAGGTCCTCAATACCAAATTGCATAAAAAAGTATTAAAATACCTGCAATACTAAAATGCGTAAAAAAGTATTTAAGACATATGTAATTGTAAAAATGCGTAAAAATGTCTTTAAAGATCGGCAAACCAGAAAAAAATGTGTACGTTATCTTCACTGTCATATCATCATATACATGTAACACCGTAATAGTTGCAGGTTATGATAATTAAAAGAAGTAATGAAAATAATGAGTTACTCTGTCGTGTTCTTGTTGTCAGGACGCCCGGAACTAAAATGTCACAATCAAACGTGATGTTTAGTTCACCGGGGGGTGGAGCACGCCATGATGTGAAAACAAGGTCAATAGGAACACCTGGAAACATATATTTTATAACACGATGGGTACATATTGTACATCGTGAGTAGAATAGTAAAATAAACTTGCCCCAAATAGCGTTTGTAATGATTGAAATTGGATCAAACAATGCAATGAACCCTTATGTGAAAACTGCATTTCATGTTTTATTTTTACATTTTAATCCAAGAATCTATGGGTTTTTTTTTTCATTTGTGATAGTGATTATAACAATGCTAACGTAGATTTTACTGACTTTAAAACAATAAAGCAATTCTTCTTTCTTTAATTGCACATAAAGCTCCAAAAATGCTATTTAATTCATTTCACTTACACTTTATTTTTTTTATCTTTTTGTGTCTTAATTCTGTTTCAATAAAGTTCTCATTAGCATTTGACTAAATCATTATTTGCTTCTTTTTTTAAAATTAATTAGAGCAGTAATAGTCAATCGGTGTTTTCTGGAATTCAAAATGCCACCTTATATCTACAAGACAATAAACTTGCCATATATTCACTTTTCATTGTTGTTCAATTGCCAGAATTTTACTGTATAAAATATCTACCTGGAATGCCGGCCGTTTTACCAACGCTGCAACGGTTATCAATGATGGGAGTCACAATGTATACTGGGATTGTACCTTCCTTGGACGATACTAGGTTTTCTAATCGATATTTCAACTCCAAAGTCCCTGTCAATATAGTTGATTAATACGTTAATGGTTAATATTAATAAATCATGTTTTTTTCGTGTCATAACATGCCAATACGCCTATCTTTACGTGTATTCTCGATGTTATATGTATAAAAAAGAAATAAAATACATTAATTAAAAATGATACCCAACGATGAAGATCCTTATTATTGCAGAACATTTTCCCTTTCATTTACTAATTACAAAATGTAATTAATTTACTGATAACTCTTTAACTAACATACCGTCGGCGTCTAGATATGTATGAGGAAAAGTAGCTGTCAGGTCACATGGATAGTAGTTGTCGTAATTTCCGTCACCCCACTCAATATAACACGAAACGTCGTTAGGAATAGGTGGGGGAACTGTAAATGTAAAATTCAAAAACGCCGGTGGTCCAAACCTCACAGGCACAACACTATTTATTTCGGTGTTATCAACGCCAACCATTACTGCAGTCGTGTATGTATTTATCACGGTGCTGAACGAGTTGCCCACTTTGACTTCTATCTGGTAATAACCTGCAACTGAAAATGTATGTACTATCGGAAAGCCGAATGTCGGTTCAGCGGTTGCCCACGGCATTCCTGTTGAAGCAGATTGCGATACAGTGTTGCTATCACCAAAATCTATATCAATAGCTACGCTTGTTCCAGCATCCATACCTACGGTAACCCTAACATCGGTACCCAAGGGTATGATTATATACTCCGAAGACACTGCTTGAGATTCGTTCGGAAAGAAACAGTCAACAACGACATTGGACATCTCTATTTCTATGACGAAATCAGTTGATGGCACTGATACTGAGCCGAGAGGGTTTTGAAGTTGATACTCAATAGTGTGGCTCCCTGTGACCATTTCTGTTCGAGGATCTACTGACCTAGCATGGCGAAGAGTATTGTTCACAACCATAGGGATATTAACATCATCGTATTTGAACGTCAGAAGTGTGACATCGGTGCCTTTGACCCATGTCAGTAGAAAATAGAACTCATCCCCTGCCTTGGCACCTGGTGGAGTCAATGCCACTGTTGTCAAAGGTTCTACTGCCTGTGATGTGACTGATGCTTGTTCGGAGCCTAAATGATTAGAGCAATTAACATTCAATGTGAGAGAACCGGCAACAGTGAAAGTATGGTCAAAGATCAACCCTTCTAACTCTGTTCTTTGTAAAGAGATGGTACTGCCATCGTCATATGAAAATTCAAAGTCACATACATAATCGCTGCCGGATGTCATACCAACATTTATATTCGTAACTGCGTCTACTTCAATAATGCTCCCTGGAGAATTAACAACCAACCCGGTTATGGTTTCTTCCACAGTAATAGTTGTATAATTAAACTTGAAACTAACGGCGTTAGAAATATTAACTGATATATTATATGATCCAGTCGTAAGGTACGTGTGTGTTGGAGTATCGAGGTCGGTTCCAGATTGCTGGCCGTTTCCAAAATCCCAGGCCACATTGGCGGGTTTGCCTGAAAAGAAATGAATCAAAAGTAGGTGCTTTCATTCGTTTTCTTACTCGAATATTCTTAGGTAGAAAATCAAATACATGGTAAGTGAAAATTCAACACTTGGTGTTTATGGGCAGTCTTGAAGTGTATATATTTTTTCGTTTACACAGATAATCAACAAAATTAAATATTAAACCTTTCATAAATGTGTTCCTTTTTGTTTATGTCAGTGCCAGCAGGCCTTTAGATGATGACAAAAGGTCTATAGTATACTGATATAATCATATATATGAGTGGGAGTGTTTTAAACAATATTGACCTGTATATGACTCAACCATGACGTTGGTCGCGACGTTAGCAGCGAAATATTCCGGCACATCTATAATTGTGGCATTTACACCTTCCCACACCATTATATTTGTTGAACCTACTTCACTTCCGGCTACATTAGTTTGATCGAGGTTAGAAACTGTTACCTACAATAGCAAGGGTGGCGCTTAATCATGTTCTTACCTTGTTTTTGACGTGCATACTGTTGAATTTAGTAACAGAAGAAATCTAACATAAAAGAAATTGTCATTTAAATGGATCTTAATTGTGATCATAGATAAAACAGCTTACACGCTTGATTGCAATATAATAGTTGGGTTATATAAGCTTACAACCGCTTATACTTGGTAATATTATTTATTAATCTTTCTTGTTTCTAAACGTTTTATTGAAATAGACAATGTACTGTATCAAAGATAACCTTGTCCTCTCACTGTATTATATCTTTTATATATTAAATATGCTATTATGAATAAGAATTTTGTTTTCACTTGTCTATATTACCAAATATAGGCGATTGATTACTTGATAAATGTGCAAGCTGACAATGAAAGATTGCCGATTGGCATATTTTCTTTTGGCAGCTGAAATATTATTATCCATATGTGCCAATTTAACGCTTTGCGTTTCTATGTTGTGACTTTTTGATATTATTAAAAGTTATTAGTCTGCAAACATTGATGTGAAACTTTGAGTACAGCCAACGTGTATATGATTACTGAACAGTTCATAATGTATTCCTATCTTGAATACAAGCAGTTACGATACTGAATGCCGATATTCAGAAATTTTAAAAATTTATAAAAAAAATAAAAAAATAAATACTTATATAGATGTTAATGTTTTGAACTACTGATACTAGTTTAACTTTGCTAACTGTAAACGTTTACCTCGAAAGAAACGTTTCCTGGCATGGTGAATTCGAGCGGGTATATAACTTCTGAAGTCTCCGCGTATATGGCTCTCAGTTGATGAACCTCTGTAGTTAGTACACAGTTACTTAAACCTACGGTAGATGGTGCTACCTGACCCGAACAATAATAGTCATTTACTGTGCCAAGCGGAACACCAGGGGCAGTGCTGGCAATTAACGGGGATGCCTGACCATCATGTGCTATAACGTCACCGAGTTGAACATCGTAGGTTGGTGTAAGGGCGACCAGACCATATCCCGGACTTATAGACACAGATATTGTGTGAATCAATCTGAAAATATATGAATATGTGATATACAGGAGGTACTCTCGCAATAAATAGTGAGTTTTCACAATGATGTCATGATTAAAGATAGGTTGGAATATTTTCATATAAAATTGGCTTCAAATAAAGCAGAAATACATGAACAAGTTAAAATGATTGTTGATAGGCTATATTGCTTTAAACATATGATAACCATAGTTACAAAGTAAACATCTGGTAACTGTCACCTGCCAATGTCAGAAAACTAATATTTTGCTTTCTCCGATTGAAAAAGAAGTCATTCTTCAATTTGCATTAACCGTTGTATAACTAAGATACGTGCGGCGACAAAACGACGTAAAATTCGTTCTGTTTAAAGACCTAACAAACTTAAAAAAAGATCTTACGTATAGCTGGCCAAGAGGGTCGTAGAGCGGGCAGTAGGACTTCCACAGCAGCTGTTCATTTCAAAACAATAATTGCCACCACACAGCGAATCGCACGAGGTTTGACATGTATTTGAATCAAAACAATACATCAGTCCTCCGCAATTCGGACGGTACACCTGCAAAGATGAAATATATAGCAATTATTACTTTCTCAACATAAACAAGATTAATCGCAGCTTCAGATGTATTGCATTTCTAAAGTATAAGAAGGCAGTAATCGCATTAAGCAACGCAGCATATTGTAACAAAAGCTTGACCGAGGTTTCTTGTTGTTCATTAGGCCTGTATTAGTTATGTAAAGGTTGTTCAAGCAAATGTTCCCTCGTGAAAAGGCAATACAATGCTTTATCTTTAATGTTCAAAATTGGTGGAAATAATGAAATGGCTGTAAGTATATTTAATGCTAATGTATTGTTATTAAATTATCATCTAAAGATGGGCCAACATTATTACTTTTAAGCTACTTAATGGAACATAGTCGTATTGGATAAAGTTGTCGTTTGGCAAAAATATTTTTTATCCCGTTATAAGCATGAGATCCTGTAATAAATTGGCTATAATGTAAAATTTAAGTAAAATATCAAATTGATTTATTTCAATGACTGTGCAGCTGTTTTTATATGCGTCTACAATGTTAAACTAGAAATTAATCAACTACTCACATGCATGTTAATCGTTCCTGTACCTAAACCGTAGTACTCAACAGTAACAAGTAAACCATTAACTTGTGCTGGATAACCATGGTGAATAATCAGTCCCGCCGTGCTTGTTGCCGAGGCAGTAGGAGCTGTCAGAATAGGCTGCCGCACGAAATTACCAATCCAATATTCCGTTGCATCTTACAAAAAGAAAAGCGAATCAGAATTACAAACAACTTACACGTGAGACTGTGATGAACGTTTTTTTTGTATTGAATTTAATGAGCGCCAGACTACTATGTACGTATGTTTGACTGTTTGACAGACAATTGAAGACACGAACGCCGGGCCTACATGTGTACTTTAACTTTTCGGCTTTGCAGAATGGCAGGTCGGCTAACTGTATATTAAAGATATTTTTTGTTTGTCAGACATTTTAATTTCCCCTCCAAATGACACATTAAGCTTTAAAGCTTAATTTTAATTTTAAGTTAGGTTTAGTGACCATCTTTTCATTTTCAAGTCAATGGGAAAAATCAATACAGAAGTCTGACCATAACTATGTGTACACGTCGCGACACTTTTGACTATATACCTGATATTTCAAAAGAATCAGTTTTCAATGCTCCCGGATTTCCGTCTGTGTACGAGATATCAACCTTCATATTTGTGCCACGTGCAACTTGAATGATACATTCATATACGTCATAAGTCGCCATGTCGGTTGGACACAACACTGTCACACCAACTGGGGCGCTGTCTACCACAACAGCTATTGCCGACTCGGAATCCTGAAACAGATTATGATTTTGTGTTATAGTATGTGTTTTTGGTGACAACAAAAGTAACACTTCAATTTGAAGCGATGTCAAATGAGGACAAACATGATCACGTGTGAATAAGTGAATAATCATATGACAAAAACAATATATGACAAAAACAATATCTAGACTGAAAAAATAGATATATAACTATATAAATGATATAATATAATCCTTCTTTATTTGTTTATTTTTTAATGAAACATTTTTATAATTTGAATTAATAAAAAAATGATGTTAAAAACGTTTGATGTTCTAGATAATACTCACTGGCAGCAAATTTCCGACGTCCGTGACGAAAGAGAGAATTCTATATTGACTGGCCATGGCGAACACGTGACCCAAGATGCCCGTTCCATTCTCAGCGTATTCAGTTTTTCCGGCTTTATCATCGTAGTTAATGCGCATGTCAAATCCAATCCCGTATGGTTCGGTTACCGGTGTGAGAGTTATAGCGTTGCCAGATGCCGCTATTTTTGGTGCAGCGTTCATTGTATGTGTAACGGCAATAGGAGTTTTATAAACATTAACATATGCTGCTGACCCGCAACTCTGCCCAGGATCACCAGGACATGGTGAGGTGCATTTTGTATCCGGCCCATCTATAGCCAAAGTGCCATCTGGTGACGTGTACGAGCAGAAACAAAACTTCCCTGAAATTGATTTTTATACATAATTGTTCCATTTTTTTTTCCAAAAAAAAAACAACACACACACAAAAAAAAAATATAAATAAATAAAAATATGTATATATACGAATCCGCACAGTCGCAATAATAAAATATCTTTCGTGTCAACTTGATGTATGAATTATAAAATTACTAAATATAACTATAATGATAATAATAATAACAATAATATTAATTACAAAAAAAGAAACAGACAATTTTTAACAAAAATAAAAAGGCCATTTACCCTATCTTTTTACAAATCCAAAACGCAAAACACAAGGAACATTAACATTAGATTATTCAGTGCCCTCTGTGTCCCTAGTCCCGTATTGTCCTAAACTCCATGTTTAATTATCACTTTTTGTATTTGTACAAGTTACTTATTGCGAAATTATTATTAGGGAAATGATTATTATTTTTTAATCTTACCCATTCCTAATGCTGCATAATCATAGCCTAGCCCTCCACAAACCGTATAACATTTCTGCGGTGTTAATGTTGACGTCCTTATAACACCGGGATTCCTGTTGAAAAATCGCACCGGTACGCTTTCTTTATAACATCCCAAATAACCTGTAACAATAACCTTTAGCTAATCACAGCTGTAACAATAAAAGCAAATCATAACTAAAACAAACAAACACAATAATAATACGATAATCACTTTACATTGACAGTTCTTTGGCCGTACCTTTGTCAAATAATGATGTTTTTGGTAGGACTTGCACTAATCTATTTATTATCCTAATAAGTACAAGTAAAAAAGGAAAAACGGAAGTGTCTTAAACATGTTATAAGCTACGCTCGCTCCTCCGCGCGACAGCTTAGCAACCCACCAACCACTATGTGAAAAAATCAAATCAGATCATACATTAAATCATTTTTTTTCCTTTATATTATTTCTTTTCTTTTAATGTTGCATTGAGGTATTTAATTTACTACTTTTACCAACATTATTTATCAATCTAGTATTAGTTTGCTAAGAGTTTAGGACTGTCTAAATATTCCTTGACAAATTTAAGATTGTCTAAAAGCTCAATTACAAATGTACGAATTAAATATTCTCATATGTTGTAAACACCTTCAATTGAAGCTTTTTTACAAAGTTACATAGAAAAACTGTACAAACAAACAACAAAATTTTCACATAAACACCATGTAAATGATGTGAATCGCAGCGCACTTCAAACGTCAAAGACGACGTCATATTAAATTTCACCTTTCTTACATACTCTTCGTGGAATTCAACGTATTTATTCGTATACTTCATATATTATACTTATAATTGTTTACTAAACAATGTTTAGTAAACAATTATAAGTATAATCTATAATTTAAATAACAGTTTAATTGTTCACACATTACTAACGAGTTCTATTTTATTTTACTTGCGCGCCATCTCAAAAAGCAACAATCTATCCCGGCCCAATCAATCAATCAAATTCCGCACTAAAAAGAATGATTTTTAGAGGCCAAATAATTAAGAAAATAATTATAAATGTCAGGACAATTAAGCATATATACATGCACTCCGTTATCAGCATTATAATTGTCCATTATTATTTTCTCTTTGACAGACCCGTTGTAAGCAGACGGACGAACAGATTTGCAGTCGGGAAATTTAAACCACCCTGGTATAGTTATATTTATTCTCTTGCTGCGTACATTGTCCTCTTGCCTCCCCTTTAAATTATAGAGATCATTCGGAAATTATTGAATACCATTTGAATGCAAACATGTCGATAATTTTAAAAGCCAAAAATCGAACATTGGACAACGCAATTTTAACAGAATCAATACAGCCCGAGCTGTATCCAAATCAACGGCTTTGTCAACTTGATTGATCGAATTTTTCTAATAAACAACTGTAGTGCCACAGAAAACAGCTTATACCGACTTTGTGTTTATTGAACAGGTCCGCGTTCTATGGGGTGACATATCCGGTTATAATGGAATTGGTTTATATAAGCTTCGTGAAACTGCTTCTCGTCAATAGAGCTTGATCAATGAAGCAATCGATTTCTTTTAAAGTCAATATTATATCCAGGTTTGAAAGGAAATGACTAAAGTTAAAAACGAATTTCAAGTGACGGAATCCATAATGCACGCAAACTATGGTATCAAAAATGTCAATTCTGTAAACAGACTTCAAAAGCTGGGTTTCCTAATATAAGAAACACAAATTGATTAATCGGAAGAAAATTCAAAGGTAAAGATTTAAAGAATATACAAAAGTGTTGATATCAATATTATATTTCAAGCTTAGCAACTTTGGTATAAAATTCACTCGAAAATATGTTGGTTCATGTATAAATTGAACAAATATACTCTTAAAATGTTAACTTGTAGAAAGAACTTACCTCCTTCCACTGATACGCTAAATATAGCAACTTGAAACTGAAATTTAAAAGAAAAAAAAAACAACATTGATATATTACGCACGTGCATCACATGAAAGCTGAAACTAGCTAAAAAATCTAAATTCTATACTACAAGTACAACTGTTAAATCTGTCTTTCTACTGACTGTCTTTTTATTGATAAATATTACTATTATTCATTTATTTATTTGTAAGAATTTGTTATTATTTTGTTTTGTTAGTTGTTCCCGAAATTTCGCCTTTTGTTTTCTATTTTACTCATACTTTTGAAATACATAAATTCTAAATTTTGAGTTGCAAACGATTTTCTTGTGAAACTTGAATCATATCTGTTTAAATTCCAAAATCCGAAAATCAAATGGAATGTGAAGGGCTTTTATTATACACAGGGTATAAAAGTTTTTGTTGTTTCTAAGATTATAAAACCTGCAAAATGTTAGTATCTACAAATTTTCAGTGACAATTTATTTTTACACCTGTTAGAATCAAATGAACCCAACATTATGCTATTATTTAAAACTGTATCAGCTTCATATATTTTTTGTCAAGCATGGATAAAAATCCCTAATGTTTCGTGTTTCTTCAGGTTCTGATAATTCCGAAACTTCCAAAATTCGAACGTTTTGGCTAGTCCCACAGGTGTTCGGTTTTCAGAAGTTACACTGTATCATGACATTGTAACATTGCTCCATTATGATATACGAAAATTATTAAAAACCCACACACACACAAAATAAAATGACTATTATCACTAGTTTCGATATCACATGCGAATGATTTGACATAATTTCTTTTATGTTAATATTTAAAGAAATTAAAAAAATATGATTTATTAATGTTATAAAATAAAATAATTTTAATTCATTTGTTAATCATTTTGTTTACGAAACAATAGTACAGGATTGATATAAATCTTACCGTAAATATGAGAAGAATCTTCGAATTTATTTTCTTAGCCATTACTCCATTCCACTATTCTTGAAGATTTCTTCAGGTCTATGGAAGCGCGCCTCGTTCAGGCAAAAATTTACCATATGACGTCATAAAAAATTTATCCAATCATTAACCGGTTCCATACCTTTAATATTGCGACCAAAGAACGCAGAGCTAAGTTTTGTCAATAAGCTTAGAAAATATCCAACATCTCAAGTAGAACAGGCAATTTAAAATCTATTCCGGACCTTTACCTCTATTCATCTATTCTGCAATATTTACTTTTATACCTTGGCACCATTGTCAACTTTTAATCATAGATACTATAAAAGACTATAGATCGAATAAAGCCCGGGAAACTGGAGACTCGCAATGCTTTTATTGATTTGATGAAATAAGATATTGTCTGTTAATTGCGTCAAAATAACATCATGCGCCTGTCTCGATCAAAACATGGTATTTAAATGAATTGATTAAACGCTCAATATGGTTTCAGAGCCAGCTTGCTTTAGTGGTCACTAATTATTGTTTTTTTTTATCATATACATATATTGTTAAATGATAATTGCAATAAATTGATTTTAAATGCTATCTTTTCTATCAAAAACGATCGAATGCGGATTATATAGTAAGAAAATGTATTTATTGTTTATCATTTAGTATTTTAGATCAATAATTTAGTACCATATAGCTTGCTTCAAGACGAGAATGGTCATAATGAAAATGGATTCTTGACCGATATTAACGATTTCGTGTAATACTACTATTATCTGAAAATGCTGAATAATGCTATAACATTTATACTGCAATTAGTGTTATTGTTAGTGTCTTCTTTGTTTAAAGTATATATAGCCATATATTTCATGCAAAAAGCGTAATTTGAATTTTGAAAAAGAAAACACCTGTATCAATTTACTGCAGAATGGCGTAGGCACAAACTCATTACAAAAAAAATAAATAAATTAAACCCCACTTAAAGTTGCAGCAAAATATTTTGTTTTGGAACATTTTATTCTGTTTACATGTACATACAATATTCATGAGTGTTAAATAAAAGATACATTCTATGTTAAAACAGGAATCAACAACAAGATTATAAAAACAACAGTAATTTCACTAAAATATATTAGACATAGCTTTTTACCATTTAGAAGAAGTAGAACGTTCGGAGCATGACGAGACTTGCAAAACTGTTTTTTTCTCTCAGACGCACCATTCTTTACACCTGAACTTATATAATTCTAATGAGAAACAAAAAAAGTCCCGTGAGACGGGTTTAGTGTGTTTGCTGGTCGGCTTCAGTTTTCGGTTTAAAAATATTATGTCATTTTCGTAGTCATTGAATTTGGCAACAGGAACAATGGTAAAGGACCAGCAGTAAAAACAAACATAAAAAAATGGAAATCAGACAAATTGATGTAATTTTTCTTTATAAAACAATTCTAGTATCAAGTACATGTTATTATTAGATATCAAGTACATGTTATAACTAGATATCAAGTACATGTCATTACTAGATATCAAGTACATGTTATTACTAGATATCAAGTACATGTTATTACTAGATATCAAGTACATGTTATAACTAGATATCAAGTACATGTCATTATTAGATATCAAGTACATGTCATTACTAGATATCAAGTACATGTTATTACTAGATATCAAGTACATGTTATTACTAGATATCAAGTACATGTTATTACTAGATATCAAGTACATGTTATTGCTTGTGTCATAATAGAATTGCAATGTGCTGCAATTTATTATATAACGATAACATTGGTTTTGCACTACTCAGGTCATTATTGCCACTGATATTTATTTACATAAATGAATCACGTTCTTCCTTTTGTCTATTAGTATCGTCTTTCTCTACTCCAAACCTGTTACCATGTTTAGCTCCTATTACATCAAGTACTATCGCAATCATCAAGCCAACACATCCAGACCCAACCAACTGATACAAAAAAGTTCTTGGCCCAAATGTTTCATAAAGATATCCAATCAGACGAAGATGAATAATCCCTCCGACTGACGCTCCAAGAATTTGTACGGTCATACCAACACCTGTGAGCTGTACATGATAGTCTGTGAAAGCAACTCCCGTCGGCCACATAGGTGCTCCGAGAAAGCCAACTGGTTGCATTAGAACCCAAAGAGCAGTTGAATTATCTACTGCAAATATATTCAAAAGAGCGCCTGATATTGCAACACCGAGTGTTTCAACTATGATTAAAACGCGAACTGATATCCATTTCGCAGCAATAGCAAATAAAAGTCTCCCGACCGAAAAACTTATCCAGAAGGAAGTATTAAGAAGCGAAGCATCCACGCTGGAAAACTCGAGCTGATCAATGGCAAAGCTTCGAATAAAGCTGCCGATCATCCGTTCACACCCACCCAGATTCCCCATGAAAATGAAAATAAATATAAAGATCTTCAATCCATACCAAAGTTTACCGTTAGCACACGTTGCTGGATTAATCATTTGTAAAAATGTCATTTCCTTCGTGTTCTTGTTGAACTTATTAGAACGGACACTTGTTTGGTTATAAGATAACTTAAAAGTTGCTTTTGGCCGTCGCTCTCTTTTCACGTATTGGACTTCAAGTATTTGGTACACCAAGAACGAGACCGAACATAAGAAGAGAAACGCTGCTGCTATTCCATATGCATATTCTATCCTTGATTCCCCTGTTATCACAAACTCACTGGGATGTTTATTCAGTATCGACTCAATTTCACTTTTAATTGTACCAAAATGACCTTTTGAAGAATTTCCATGTAAACTACTGGGTGGCAAACTGATCCACGAGACTTTGGATAAACTATTACGGACCGAGTCGTTGTTTAGCGATAAATTACTCGTTCCGTTCATTTCGACCAGCGTTATTTCTGCCAGGAAAGGATATGCGTATAAAGGAACAATAAATGAGCCAATTCCGTATCCCATATGTAACAAGATCAATGACGATGCAGCATTGTCTAACCAAATACTGAGTGTGACACTAGTTCCAGCTGAAATATTCAATGAAAAATGCTTCTTTATAATTTAAAATGATAAGCACGCGTGGTATGTCTAACCAGTCAGTATTACTTTAAAGTCTCACTCTCGCAATACTAGATTACATAAGAAGAAACAAATTGTAAGACGCTAAATGTTGTTAACACCAAACTGAGGAAATTTATTTGAAGAACAAGCTTTATGCCAATGTTACAAAAAGAAGACACAAGATTGTTTTTTTCTGCCAATAAGGTGATTAATATGATGTAGATCCATTAAAGTGGAAAATTTGTTTTTAAAATAATAAAGACTATTTTCATTTCTTGTTGCTTTTAACGATGGTTTTACCATTAAGCAGCTGAATATATAAAACATGGAACAGCGTTCATTATCAATTTTTGCGACATCACTATGAAAAATGAGCTGCGCCAAGACAAAACCAACATAATGGGTTTGCGACCAGCATGGATCCAGACCAGCCTGCGCATCCGCGCAGTCTCATCAGGATCCATGCTGTTCGCTAACAGTTTCTCTACTTGTTAAAGGGTTTGTAAACGAACAGCATGGATCCTGATCAGACTGCGCGGATGCGCAGGCTGGTCTGGATCCATGCTGGTCGGAAACGCATTACGTTGGTTTTGTCATGATGCGGTTTAAATATACTTTTGTCTAAAAAGCATAAACAGCTCAAACACATCTTTTTGCACTTCGAAGAAATGCCAGTGAGGTAAAGTGAATTCTGAAAATTTGTCAGAAACAAGTGTTGTCATGTTTGCAAGCGAATTATATCTTAAACATTAAATGTTTTTTTAAGAAATTCATTAATACATTTTAAAGGAATGAGTCGAGAATTAAACATTTTCTCTCTTTTACAAGAATAGTTAGAATACAATGTATTGAAGGAGCTCCACTGAGGTTGAAAAGACTAAAAATATAAAAAATTGAAAATCTTATATAGATCAACTTAGACACTTAGAACGGAAATACACGGAAAAGATGAATTCAAATGAAAATATCCCGATTAAAGTTTAAATCCTTTAAAGGTTTGTTTTTCTTCAATTTAAGATCATTTTTGCGCATTACAATATTATGATTAATCTTGAAAAAATGGGGTGAGTGAATGATCCGGAATTTAGCTCACAACCTCCCGGTATACAATGATTTATAAATCTCAAAAACATATTTCCAATCCCGTTATATAAAAAAAACCTCAGTGGAGTCTCTTTAAATTTGAAACGGATATCTCTATACATGTGTACCTATATTAACAACTTGTTCGCAGACTCCTCCAATAAAGCAGAAAATCCACATCAACGTGATATTTGGTAACCATGGTATTGCCACTGTTGCTATGGCAGCTGTCATTAACGCGATGGTGATTATCAAATGGCGATACAGTTGAAATTTGTCTACGAGAAAACCTCCGAGTACAGAACCTAAGATCCAGCCAAAGGTCCTTCCAGAAATTGCAAACGCCAGCTGCTCGTAATTGCTGTCCAGTCGGAGGATAAGGTCTTTTAGTGTAGGTCCAAATATTTCAAGATACATTCCCTAAAATGAGAAGAAACAAGGGCTATCAGTTGGACAGCATGTTCGACTATTCTCAGGACTTGATAGTAAAATAAAAGCGTGACATGTGTATATTTTTCTTAGTTCAGAAAGGGCCATAATTTGAGTTATTGATCTTGGATAGTGACCTCCTATTATGCTCTAAAATAAGTGTTTGAAGTTTCAACCTATTCCCTTCTATAGTTTTGGAGATACCAACTTTCACGCAAAAATTTAACCAATGTGTGACGGCGACATGGACACCGACGTCTATTCTCTCCATACTCTTCGAATACTCTAACAAAGTACCTTTACCATAGATTGTCATGCCGTGAAACCTTGGTTATTTTAGATTATTTGTATATAACTTATCATTGTGGAATAGTCTATTATAATGATTTCTGTCAAAGCCTTGAATAATGTAAATATGAAACATAATCAATGCAAACGCTCGAAGCATTAGAATTCGTTTGTTTATTTGGACAAATTTGATACTACTAAAGCTAATTGTCAATGTGTTAAACACTTTCTGAACTTAGATAAATCAACTTACTAAAGAAATCCAGGTAAGAATCAGGACAGTCGTTTCGGTTACTTTCTGACATTTTGTCCGTTCTCTGTTACTTGATGTTTTCATTTTGTAAATGCAATATGTGCATATACATACATGTCATTTAAATAGGAAAACTGCTAAGCTCCTTATCAATGTAACGAAACTGAGTTTTATAAATTAAGATCTTCACATATTGTGGTATACATAGAATGACCTTTACTACAGTTTTATCTTTAAGATAAGACATTTTGTGAGGAATTACATTTATCACTTTTCCGTGTCACTTTTGCTACACTTGTACCGCCGTTCACATTTATATTTTGACGTAACGTCATTTGCGTTATATAAACATAGCGTAACGACACATAAATTATGTGTATATGTAGATCTAAGTGTTTATTAAATGAAATTTTAACAATTAAGAACCCTAAAGATATCTGAAAGCTATCTTAGGTCATACTCGTGGTCAAAGTCGTCGTTGTCTTTGTGATAATAACATAAAATGCTTCATAAAAGACTAAGTAGACATAGACGTGATAAAAGCCTTAACCGTAGTTGTCGACGTAGTCTCGTGGTCGTTACGGTAGTCTTAGACGTACTCGTAGACATAAGAGTCGTAATTTTGGTACTTGCAGTTTGTTTTTTTTGTTTGTTACATTTTACGATACCACGCCAGAGAGGTACATGTGTAACTGTAGGCTGTTGTATGTCCCAGCTGGATTAGAAGTCGTCGACTCCCTCGACCACGGAGGTAGTTGCAGTAGCTGCTGATTTAAAACATAGGTCGCAAAAGTCGTATTCGTGGTCGGAGCCGTATTTGTGGCCCTTAAAGTCGTAGCGTTGTCGTCGGCGTGTATGTAGTTGTAGTCATATTCGTGGTCGTCGAAGTGTATGTAATTGAAGTCGTAGACGTCGTCGCGGAGAGTAAAAATGATGATAATCGCCATCTTGGTCATTAGCAATTGGTCATCTTTGAAAAATAATTTTATACGGTTATATGCAGCATCTTCAAGTATACAGCTAACGTATAAGATATTTTCGGTGCTAGCTGTATACGGTATTACAGTCAATGTATACAGATCCCGCGTAAGCTGTATGTTAAAGTTGTATACGGTGCATCAACGCACGCGTTATCAGCAACCTGAGAAAAAGCAAACGTCCTTTCAATTATATCTAGCACTGTGTAAGCCGACAATTTACTATACAATATACTTGTACTATTTTATGAAAGGCAAAGTCGGTATTAAGTTATTAACCTTCTTTGCTGCATGTCTAATTAAAAAAAAGGCGGTATCATACAAGAACAAAAGTGAAATATTGTTTTTGATTTAATTCATTAACATGCAAGTTAAAACATAACAAAACCGGTGTAGATATAAAGATATGATTATTATGCTCTATACAAAGTGTATCACGAACAACCCCTATATCAACCAAGATGCTTAACGCAAATCTTAAGTTTAGATACATATTATTTATTCCATTCGTTATTTCCCATACCATAGTATCACCTTTTTTACACAAACAGTCTTTGAATATTCTTGTATCTTCTAGTATTAACAGATAGCTGAATGTTAAAAAAGATAAACAAAAATAGATAAACTAAAATATCTTTTTCATTTTAGCCAAAGTTAATGTGATATAACATTTTGTTTATTTAGTTAAATTGAAATTAATAAATGTCATGAGTGGTAGTTACAAATCTTACAGTAACTAAGTATTCAGTAGTTTGCAACAGAATTATGATTGAATGTCTCTGATTTATTAAAAAGATAACTCATTCTGTAAAACTGTAAAGAATATAGCTAACTTTATAAATAACTAAATCTATTCATGAGATGACCAATTCTATAAAGAAGCACACCAATACTTTAAATAACTAATTCTATAAAGAAAATGACCAATTTGTAAAGAAAATTACCAATACCATAAAGAAAATTACCAATTTTATAAAGAAAATGATAACAAAAAATAAAATATCCAATTGTAAAGAGAAGACAACATATTCTAATCAGGAGATAATCAACTCAATACAATTTATAGAAGATTCTAAATTCTAAAAAAGGAAAGAATAAATTGTAAAGAGAAATTAAGTTATTCTAAAAAGGAGAATGAATTCTATAAAGGAGATATTTCTATTTTTAAAGGGTGTTTCTCCATGTATTTTATTTTTTGATGTTTAAGTGTCCGTTTGGAGTGCTCTAATAATTTTGAAGGGATTGTATATTTTTTATATCTTTTTTTATCAATTTCTTCATTGTTTAGGGGTGGGGGAAGGAACAGGTTATTCCTATGGTTTCAGGGGTGATTCACAATAAAGGCAAGCAATGCAGATCTACAACTTCCCATCACAGCATAGGTTATACAGCACCAATATAAAGATATACTTATATAATATACATGTGTGTGACATCTTTATATAATACAACAGTAATTGTATAGCATTTTACATGCCAATAAACATATATTGCATAGAATGAATAGAAAAATATCAAAATCAATATCGGATGCAAAAATAATTTTAGGAAAGCATGTGATAACAAGCCGGAAGCATGTGATAACTAATAATATGAGCTGTCAGATTTTCTTATATACTCTCCTTACATACAGGTTATCAAACAGTAATGTAAAAGAAAGATCAAAATATACAGATACATTTCTCTACCAGATCTGAGCATATAAAACATTAATATTACCATATTTGTGACGAAAATTAAATCAACAGTTTAAGTACCAAATGATTACTGACAGATTATCTTTACAGCATATACTAGTACTTAATGCTGGAAAGAAATATCATGAATGTATCATAGGTCAAAACAGAAAAAAAAAAACTATTTCTAATTGAGAAAAAAAAGGAAATTACTCATCAAGATAGTGTATGATAATTATCACATTTCTCATGAAAGAAATATCTTTATTATAATGAACACATCTTATTTCATTGGCGACTTTTAATCCATTCTAACTGACTTAAGCCAAAAATTACTTGTATACATGAATAAATGTTCTATAGGGCGAGTGAATGATATACAGTACTCTAAATATTTTCTAATCCACTGCATTAAAAATAGGCTATTTATAAATTCAGACAACCATTAGGTACAACAATAAGATAAACGAATGAGGTGGAGTAGAATTTCTAAACTAATCACACTTTAAATTGCTAATCAAAATTCTGGGAATATAGCAAAACAAAAAACTCAATACCTGAAGGAATGTTTAAAAAGATATGCAAAACTGGGACAAAAATTCTCATATACATATATCAATATTAAAGCTACAAAAATCGTCTATGGTTTAACAGTACTGAAATACCTGCATATATAATGAGCTTAACAAAAAACATGATAAATAACAAAAGTAAAAATACAAAAAATAAAGTAGTAAGGCCAGATCTAAGATACATGACTATTGTGTATAAACAATGGCACAACACCAAATCATAAAATAATGAACATACAATATATATTTCTACAGATTAAATACATTATATGATAACTTAAGTAAAACCCAAAGTATTATGAACTAAAATGTTTACTTTACATTGTCAGGTACATAAATTTGGCTTTTATTTTTTAATTAACACTAACACTGAAAGATCCATGGCTACTTTCTTGTTTGACTGGTGAAGCAAGACCTAAGGGGACCTTCAGTGCATTATTTCAAACACGAACAAGCACCAAAGTAGAAGCACTACATAACAAACCTCATTACATGAAAGAATCTAGTCCTTGGTAGGATTTGAACCCACAGCATTGACCAAGCAAGCTGTAAAAAGTAATGTTAACCATTCCCTTCCAGAGGCTACTTATTTGGTTCTATGTTTCTGACATTGTGTATATGGCAACATTAAATACAGTATAAAAAAGTAAAATCTTTATCTAATCAACAGTAAAATATACTTGTAATTCCAGCATAAAAATATTGGGTTACTAACTTTGCTTCCATATCCTAATATTTTGGACCCCACTTGTCTAATGAACCTGCTTCCATATGCGCCATTCCTAATTATAGGTAAAAATGGAAAATATTCTGAAACTATCATTTACAATTTTTTTTAAAACTTATACAGTTGACTCTCAATAAGTCAAAATCGCTTTACTCAAAATTCCGCCTTAGTCGAATAATTTCTAAAGTCCCGTCAAATTTCCTTCTTTATCTTTGTATTTTAACTCCGCTTAGGTCAAATTTTGACTTTTTGACTTACCGAGACTCCTGTTTAGTCCCGTCAATTAAAGTGCAACATATTTTCATCTCAATTAGTCGAAGTGTGAAAACAGCCGACTGATCAAAGGTCGGAGACATCAAGGTGAGATGTTGTCATTCGTGATTTACATGTTTCATAGTAATTCTTAATTGCCCGTCATCATGTATTATTAACACGTCGTAAAAATGGCTTTAATCCGTTTCAGGACTTAATTGGTTTTAACAGTTAGATAACTTAATTAAAATTTAATTACATTGCTTTAAGAAAGTTGACTCGTGCCGGTCTGACGGGTGTAGTCAAATAATAGCCTAGGTATTGATGTGTGTTATCAACGTAAATAACATTTGTAAATTAATGTTCCGTCATATTGCATACATTAATTTGTACTTCCAGTTCACGATAGTTGCTAATTTCATTTTCGTCCGATGATCAATTAAATCAAATATAATTGTGTGTTTATGTTTCACTATTAATATACATGTATTAAATTTTGAATGATATATTTTTGTTCATTTATAATTTGTAGTTGTAAGTTATATACCCTCATTTCAATGGTCAAATATTGCAGCATTGCCGCTAATAACAATAACAACCTACTTCTTTACACATTCAATCAGGCACATGTATATACATGTACGAATGTCAATGTAATGGCGGTAGTTCCACATTACTCGAATTCATTTTCTCTCGAAGTAAAATGACCAGTCCCTTGGATTTCGAGTTACCGAGAGTCAACTGTATATGCATATTTCAATAATGAAGGAATTGTAAATGTGTTTAAATTTGCTCTCAGTGTTTTCAACTAGTCAGTTAAATATTCTCTTTATTTTTATTTTACTACAATCATACAAAGTATTTATGTTGATATTTTGATAAAAAATCTAAAAATGGCCATTGAACATTCCACATCACTTGACTAGTTGTAAGACATATTTAGTTTCCATGGCAACAGAATAACGACTAGTAAATCTCTAGAAAACAGCACAATTGAACAATGACTAGCATAACAGAATGCTAATGTTATATAAAGGTTTTGATACTACACCATGGTATGTAAATTATTTAAGAACACAAACCAGCCACACCTGACATAATATGTTCACTAATTATTGCTTTCAACTAATTAATAAATAAGTCAATAAAGATACAAAATAATAAAATTACAAGATGAAGATCTACAAAACATGAGCAATAAAAACATTCCCATAAATGATAATTCAAATACATATAATATATATACATTTTACATGTAAAAAACCAAGAACTGTCCACTTTTCTAATTACACAGGTGTTAATACATGTAGTAAAGAACATCATTCTCATGACAAAAATGACAAAAATCCATTTTAATTAACTTCTGTAGATAGACTGCTTCATTAATATCAGAAAAAATAATGTTTGAATATTGCACCTCATATAATAGGCATATGATAGTGCAAAATAAAATACTTACACAAATTTCTAAGTTGCAAGAATTTTTTACATTAAATTCTTCAGGGAGGAATAATTTTTAAACTGAAGGTGGCAGAATTGTCAGATATGATGTGGAAGGCAATAAAAATATCTTCTTAATGTTTTATGAAATGGACAAAGATTTGGTAAGAAATGTGTAAAGGGGGATATAACTTGCACTATAGGTTCCAGAATTAAGATCTTTGTGGATTCAGACTCGGAACCTTATGCTGGAGTTAGATGGCTTTCCATTTGCTACATATAGTTGAGCTAAAAAATAACATGGAATTTAAAAAACCAAACAAAGAGAAATATATACCTTCCTGTGAATTTGTATGAATAAAAATGGAAATTTCAAAGACAATTATTACCAATCAAACCTTACTTTCTTATCAATCAGAACTGGAGTTCTAATGTAAAACAATTATTGCAATGATTGTTTTGTTTTTTTCATTATTTTTTTTCGGTTAAGTCCAACTTATAGTTTACTATGTTATAATATGCATGTCTTTAAATGATTTTTTTCCTAAAATACAAGTAAGCAAGAAGATCTACATGAATATAAACATTCATCATATAAAAATATATGAAAAAAAGAAGAAAAAATAAAACATAAAAAAAAACAAATTTAAGAAAAAAAAGTTCTTACAGTTAAGTGGTTTTCCAAAAACCAGCAATGTGATTCATTGTACAAATGTGAAACATGCAATTTGGTAATTTGATTTTCTATAAGTTTTCTTTAATATGAGGTGGGCTTTATCACAGATTTCTAGAGTTGATTATCAAACTATATTGAATACAGTCAAACCTGCCATCACAAAAACAAATAAATATTGACTTTATCGACGCTTGGTCCCTGAATCTGATAACATGGCTCTTTTATTGCATAGGTAAAGAAACTTTGCGGCCTTTAGAGATATGCTTTACTAATCTGTGGTTATGGTTCTGAAGTAGTCTGTCTCACAAGTTTGACTGTATTTTCATTTACAAAGAAATTATGTTGTAAGGTAATAAATTTTAGTATAAATTAATCAATCAATCAATCAAATTGACTGACTGACTCATCAATTAATCAGACTGACTGACTGACAAATCAACCAATCAATCAATCAATCAAATCAACTGACCAATCAATCACTCAATCAATCAATTTTTAGAGTATCATCTCTTATCAATGGTTTAATCATCTCTTTCATCATCATGTAACGTTTAGTTGGAATGTGTTGTTTAGATTCCTCATAGTCCTTCTTCAACTTCTCTAATCTGTTATGTAGTCGTAGAAACCTTCTTTCAGCCTTGTCTTTTCTCTTCTTTTTTTCTTCAATGTCTTTGACAATCTCAGCTTTATGCAGTTTGGAAACCTCTACAGAAAATATTATAAATAAACTGTCACTCAACAGAATGAATGAAATGATTATGTCATTTTGATGTAAAGAATATTATGGCCTTATAAATCTTAAATGTACATAATCTGTATAACACTGGAGTTTATTCATTATGAAATAGAATAGCAAAATCATAGAGTCCTGCTGTGAGCATGTTCATTGACTCAACAACTTTACCACCCGTCATCTGCCAAAATATAGTTCCCACTTACATGCCCATCTCCCTGGGGTGTCCTTCAGTCTATATCAGGCTGCTTAATATAAAACAAGCAAATTCGTTGAATTTATATCCCCCGCCGAGTACTGGTTACTATTAACACAACAACTGAAGACATAAAGCTTTATTTATATATTAATCATGGCATAAACAGTAATATTCTTTGAACTTGATAAATATTCAGGGCAATAACAGAGCCATAACTTTGTGTTAAATAGTAAAATCTGGAAATGCCAATGAGATGTATGCATACTACATAACTAATCAAGGGCCATAAATCTGAGTTATAAGTATCTGACTGGAACAAGGCGACTATATGCACATCTCCTCTTAGTATCCCATAAAGTTTCATTGAATTCCGGCCAGTAGTAGCAGAGAAGTAGCGAGGAAACAAATATTTTTCTATATGGATACTGCATAACTAATCAAGGGCCATAACTCTTGAGTTAAAGTGTCTGACCGGAACAAGCCGACGATATGCGCATCTCCTCTTGGGATTGAAGGTTCCCATATAGTTTCGTTGAATTCCAGCCAGTAGTTGCAGAGAAGTAGTGTGGAAACGATTTTTACTCTATATGCATACTACATAACTAATCAAGGGCCATAACTCTGAGTTAAAGGGTCTGACCGGAACAAGCTGACGATATGCGCATCTCCTCTTGATATTGATGATTCCCATAAAGTTTCGTTGAATTCCAGCCAGTAGTTGCAGAGAACTACTCCGGAAACGATTTTTACTCCATATGCATATTGCATAACTAATCAAGGGCCATAACTCTGAGTTAAAGTGTCTGACCGGAACAAGCCGACGATATGCGCATCTCCTCTTGGTATTGATGATTCCCATAAAGTTTCGTTGAATTCCAGCCAGTAGTTGCAGAGAAGTAGTGCGGAAACGATTTTTACTCTATATGCATACTACATAACTAATCAAGGGCCATAACTCTGATTTAAAGTGTCTGACCAGAACAAGCCGACGATATGCGCATCTCCTCTTGATATTGATGATTCCCATAAAGTTTCGTTGAATTCCAGCCAGTAGTTGCAGAGAACTACTCGGGAAACGATTTTTACTCCATATGCATACTACATAACTAATCAAGGGCCATAACTCTGAGTTAAAGTGTCTGAGCCGAACAAGCCGACGATATGCGCATCTCCTCTTGATATTGATGATTCCCATAAAGTTTCGTTGAATTCCAGCCAGTAGTTGCAGAGAACTACTCCGGAAACGATTTTTACTCTATATGCATACTACATAACTAATCAAGGGCCATAACTCTGAGTTAAAGTGTCTGACCGTTACAAGCCGACGATATGCACATTTCCTCTTGATATTGATGATTCCCATTAAGTTTCGTTGAATTCCAGCCAGTAGTTGCAGAGAACTACTCCGGAAACGATTTTTACTCTATATGCATACTACATAACTAATCAAGGGCCATAACTCTGAGTTAAAGGGTCGGACCGAAACAAGCCGACGATATGCGCATCTCCTCTTGATATTGATGATTCCCATAAAGTTTCGTTGAATTCCAGCCAGTAGTTGCAGAGAACTACTCCAGAAACGATTTTTACTCCATATGCATATTGCATAACTAATCAAGGGCCATAACTCTGATTTAAAGTGTCTGACCCGAACAAGCCGACGATATGCACATCTCCTCTTGATATTGATGATTCCCATAAAGTTTCGTTGAATTCCAGCCAGTAGTTGCAGAGAAGTAGTGCGGAAACGATTTTTACTCTATATGCATACTACATAACTAATCAAGGGCCATAACTCTTGAGTTAAAGTGTCTGACCCGAACAAGCCGACGATATGCGCATCTCCTCCTGATATTGATGCTTCCCATAAAGTTTCGTTGAATTCCAGCCAGTAGTTGCAGAGAACTACTCCGGAAACGATTTTTACTCTATATGCATACTACATAACTAATCAAGGGCCATAACTCTGAGTTAAAGTGTCCGACCGGAACAAGCCGACGATATGCACATTTCCTCTTGATATTGATGATTCCCATAAAGTTTAGTTGAATTCCAGCCAGTAGTTGCAGAGAACTACTCCGGAAACGATTTTTACTCTATATGCATACTAAATAACTAATCAAGGGCCATAACTCTGAGTTAAAGGGTCGGACCGGAACAAGCCGACGATATGCGCATCTCCTCTTGATATTGATGATTCCCATAAAGTTTCGTTGAATTCCAGCCAGTAGTTGCAGAGAACTACTCCGGAAACGAAATTCGGACGGACAGATGGACGAACGGAAGGACGGACGGACAACGCCAAAACTATATCCCCCTCCCGATTCCATCGGCGGGGGATAATTACACAGTACACCTATTGATATGATACACAAACCAGTAACTTATTCTATCACCTTAAAGGCCAGTCTGAAAGCTTTCTTATGTTGCTTAGCAACAAGCAAAGAAGCTATTTGTACCAATTTCTGTCATCTGTTATAGTCATTGCAATTTGGTCAGATATACAAGTAGGTACCTTGTTGTCATGATAAACAAATGAAGAAATAACAGCATGAATTGCCCACCTACTATTAAAAGAAACTATTTGGGGTAGAATTACAGTAATTCAAAAGCAAACACTCAAAAGTTTAAATTTCTATAAATGGATAACTGTTACCATTAAAAAACATGACATGAGAAAAGTAGCAATAACTTGTCTAAGTATGTATGTATTCAAGGCTTAATGAGGGTCCATCTGCCCTTTCAGGCAATTAATTGTTATAATCTGCCTACAAATTTCACTAAATGATTCTAAATATGTACATATGTAAGTTGATTTTTTGTAATGTTTACTACTGTGATGCAAGGGAGGCTAATGAGACCATTATGTGCACTACAGAGAAAAAATAATTTGTTTGAATAAAATGCTAAATCAGTTATATGCAAGAATAATGCAGGTACTCTGAGCTTTGATTTCTTTAAATATTCACAGACTGCAATTTAAAATCTGTGACATAACTAAAAATAATTTTGTCCTGACCATATCAACTTTAGAACTCATTTTAATAAATATCAGATATATCTCACCATCTCTTGCTGATGCATCAGACATGCCTGCTGAAAATTGTTTGGCAGCTTTCATCAGGGATATTGCTTTGCCTTTCTCTTCTGCTCCTCCAGCTGTTGAATACCTCGCAGCTTTCTCCATCACCTCATCTGTCACACAAGCTGTTAACAAAATCAACACATTTGAGCCACGTCACGACAAAACCAACATAGTGCGTTTGCGACCAGCATGGATCCAGACCAGCCTGCGCATCCACACAGTCTGATCTGGATCCATGCTGTTTGCTTACCAACTCTATTACAAGTAGAGAAACTGATAGCGAACAGCATGGATCCTGATCAGACTGCGCGGATTCGCAGGCTGGTCTGGATCCATGCTGGTCGCAAACACACTATGTTAGTTTTGTTGTGACACGGCTCAAAATTTTATCTTAATATTAAGACATCAAATAAAGCTTCAATGTGTTGACCTAACTTGTTTTTCACTTCAACACCCCTAAATTTATTTAACAGACTTGCATTGCTTTGACTTTGTAGCTATCCATTGTTTAATTAATGGGTTCTATTCTAATATATCAAATAGCAAATATCAACCAGCATAAGGTCTAGTCTGACTTCAACCTGGTGGGATAAGAAAATCAACAAAGTTGCATTAGCAGTCATTCACAGTTACATGTATCATATTTAACAGAACATAGTAGTGTAAAGTTAGAAAATGTTGACACAAAATAGATATTCTATTACCATGCAAAATATTTACATCCAGACAGTTAAAATATTTTATATTTGAAACTTATAAATCTAAACCCTTCTTACAATAAAGGAAAACAGTGACTTTGTAGATGTTTCTGCCTCGAAATATGAATCTTGGTTCTAAGCCCTACTGGGTCTCAACCATATTTCTCCCTATGATCCCAGTTCTGGTTTGACCAGTTCTGGTTTATCAGATCCAGTTTAAAAGATACACTATGCTCATCTTTGGGAAAAATACTTTTATTGCAGACATTGAATGAAATCTAGTAAATTCCTCCTAAACATATCTAATTTGAATAAGTAAGTGTATAAAACATGTTTGGGAAGATGCTTTCCCTATTACTTGTCAAATGAATGTAATTGGTCTATTCTTATAAAAACTGCCAGTTATTTTTTAATGGCACTATGTAATAATACTGTGTGTAGAGTTTAAAATATAACATATCTTCTCTAAGTGAATTCAAAAGATGTTTATTTTACATTTCCAAAAAGATTGTATAACAATCATCAGTTTTTTTCAAATATCAAATTTAAGCATAAATATATCTTTAAGGTAATACCAGTCCTTGTTCCAGTTCATGGAAGCTGACTTGAAAGTGGCTCAAATGCAAGTTTTCTTTATAATTAAACTAAAATTAACATGCTAAAATTAAACCTTTCTTATAGATTATAGTCTGACCTTTTATCATAGCCTTGAGGTCACCATATCTCTGTAGGGCAAAGTTATCTTTACAAGACTGGTATGTGTGATCAAGGTCATGAACTGCCTTGTAGATGTCTTTATATCTCCTCTCTATGTCCTTCACCTGTGTTGTCAGCTCTATATCCTCCTCCCTTAATGTATCCTTAGTCTTAAAACTACCTGTAAAATATATTATATAACACACCTTGTTATCACATTTCATTAATTTTTATAACTGCCATGTAACAACTTAGTTCCATAAAATATCTGTAAACCATTCATATTCAAAAAACTGTATCCATGCGATTTTAATGTCAATGTGCTTTTCGTTAAATTAAATCAGACAAGTAAACTTAAACTGCATGAAAGTGTCTTCTAAAATTAAAGAAGTAATAGACAGTTTGTTTTTGTTTTTTTGTTTTGGGGGGGGGGGTGGGGGGGGGGTAGGTTTGGAGGGTGGTGTAATAGCCAAGTGGTTAACATGTCAGATTAGAAATCTAAAGAGATTGTTGGCTGCCTGAGTTAAAATAAAATCCCATTAGAGGCTTTCTTTTGATTCTTAGTTAGAAACTTTACATTTATTGCTTAGTATAATAGTAATGATTGGTTCCAGGAACAGACACTCGAGTGTGTCTGTGTCAGTAAGCTAAAACTTTCGACACAGTTGAACTAAAATACATTCCGTATAAGCTAAAGAAGAAATTCACAAAAACAAGAGCTGTCACCCAAGTGACGAATGCCCCCGAAAAGGTTTCTTAAGCATTATGAAAAGAATATAGATATAAAGTAACTAATTGCTGAATATTGTTCTTTGTATTATCGTACCTGTAATCTCTAATTGTGATAGCATGAACCTTCAAAATATAAGTGTGACCTTGACCTTTGAAGAAGGGACATGGTTCCTGGACAAGACAAAATGTTGTTATGAGATAGACAATTGTGCCAAATTATTTCAAAATCCCTCAATGCATGACAAAGTTACAGTCTGGACATGATTGTTGTGTAAGTGGGGACACACAGACAGATGGACATGAGCCTTAACCGCGACATATTGTCTTGATGTGGTAGACATTTGTGCCAATTTGTTTTAAAATCCTTCCATGCATGACAGAGTTACAGTCTGGACATGAATGTGTATCTTCAAACTCTTACCGAGAGAATGAGTACCTTCAAACTATAAGTGTGACCTTGACCTTGAAGGTAGGAACATGGGTCTTTGTCGGGACACATTGTCTTGATGTAATACACATTTATGCCTAGTTATTTTAAAATCCTTTGATGCATGACAAAGTTACAACCTGACCGTATGTGTGTACCTATAAACTCTAATTGTGATAGAGTGAACTTCAAAATGATAGTGTGACCTTGACCTTTGAGGTAGGGACATGATTATTGGATGCGACACATCATCTTGATGTTGTAGACATTTATGCCAAGTTTTTTTTAAAATCCTTCCATGCATGACAAAGTTACAGCCCGGACACGATTGCGTGTACCTATTAATTCCAATTGTATTGTGAAACTTCAAAATGTTTGACCTTGCAGTGTTTTTTTCTTTATACAACTACTACCCTAAAACGGTACCATTCCCAACAGAAAATAGACATTAAAATTCCCAATTTCCAATGTTAAATTCCCAAAATGGCTGTTCAAAATGCCCACAAGGCCAAGTGATTTTTCTAAGATCATTTAAATCCAACATATTCATATAAATCACCACTCAATAGTAGAAGCTGTTAGCTATCTTTATTCATGATGTTAATCTCATTTGTAGCTGAAAAAATGCATTAAAAAAATTCCCAATTTTAGTCAAAATAACGCATTTTTTTCCCAATCAGTCTGGTACCGGCACCATTCCCAAAGTAGAGAAAAAAAACGCTGCCTTGTGACCTTGACCTTTGAGGTAGAGATGTAATTCTTGGACGCGACACATCCTCTTGATGTGGTAGACGTTTATGCCTAGTTATTTTAAAATCATTCAATGTATGACAAAGTTACAGTCAGGACATGAATGTGTATACCTATTTTCTCGAATTGCGATAATGTGAAACTTCAAAATGATAGTGTGACCCTGACCTTTGAGGTAGAGACGTAATTCTTAGACCCTACACATCGTCTTGATGAGGTTGACATTGAGGCCTAGTTATTTTAAAATCATTCAATGCATGACAAAGTTACAGTCCGGACACGAATGTGTGTACCTATTTACTCTAATTGCGATAACATGAAACTTCAAAATAATGGTGTGACCTTGACTTTTGAGGTAGGGACGTGGTTCTTTGAATGCGACACATCGTCTTGATGTGGTAGATATTTGTGCCAAGTTATTTCAAAATCCCTCAATGTATGACAAACTTACAGTCCGGACACAAATTAAGTGGGGACGCACAGACAAACAGACGGACAGACAGACGTTGCGATTATATTACATGTATACCTTTCTTCCGGGGCATAACAAAATCATGGCAAATTCATATGCCATAAAAAAGAAAATAACAACAGAATTAGACTGCGTACCTATATCCCCCATTGTCAACTTGTCCTTCTTTTCTTTCCCCATCATTGCTTTCTGTCATACCATAGTAATCAATTAGCTCATCTGAAAATCAAATCAATGGGTGTACATAAATTTCGTACATTAAAATATTTAAATAGCTTCTCACAGATTTAAAACAGTAGTCATTTAATTAGGTCTGAATACTTTCTAGTACTTTTTTAACAGACTATCATCCTTGTAACTCAACAAAAATATCTAAAATAGTAACCTGGGCTTTTATCAAACTTAAATCCAAAAGCTTACATTTAAATCAAACTTTGCTTAGAATGTATCCCAGTTCAGTAAATCACAGGTATGTAAGTATAGTGGGAGAGACGGTTTATGTCTATGATACAGTTTCATAATCCATTAATCCATATATCTATCTATATTGTGTAGCAGATGTTAGCTTCATGGCTGTCATAACTAATGTATAATCTATACATTGTCTAATATTTCAAGTGACACCTTTTGTATTTATTTTAATCGTCTTTCAGATCAATCTTCATATCAGTAAAAGTACACAATAAACAAGAGGGCCATGATGGCCCTGAAATCGCTCACCTGTATATAGGCACCTGGGCCAAGATCAACTTTAAACCAGGGGCTTTTATTTGAACCAACTTGGAAGACACCCATTAGATAAATATCTAAGCTCTTGCTCTTTGTGTTTTTTATAAGATGATTTTCTAAGTTTTTACTTTATACAAAAGGGGGAAAAACAAAGACGCTGACTACATGATGTTTCATGTTTATAACCCTTTCACTGCCATAGGGACGGCCCTATTATTTTCCGCGTATTTGCCATATGGACGGCTTTTGCCATTTCTATAATATATTATAATAATTATAATAATAATAAAATAATTAAATATATAGATAATTATACCATCGACAATAATTATGTTCTAGCAGATTTGGAAACATATATAATTATTATAATACTAATAACAAATAATAATAATTATATTAAATAATAATATAGTAATTTCTTAGAAAATATTCTAAGCTCTAGCTATTTTTTAATTTTTTTTTTTAAAGAAATTATTTTACGTTTTTACTATATACAAATAGGGAAAATCAATGACCCCTGGACGGCCAATTTTGACCCCAGGGCATTTATTTGAACAAACTTGGTAGACACGGACTAGATGATGTTTCATGCCATATATCTAAGTTCTAGCTCTTTCAGTTTTCTAAAAAAAGATATTTTAAGTTTTTTTTCTTTCCATTGCCATGGCATCCAGAGTTCTGCTTGGAAGTTGACTACCAAAGGAGCATACCTGTGAAGGATGGATGAAATTGGCTTAGCGGTTTATGAGGAGATGATTTTAAAGTAAAAGTTTATGGACTGACAATGCCGGATGAAAAGCAATCACAAAAGCTCACCATGTCACTTTGTGACAGTCACAGGTGAGCTAAAAATTAAGCGTTTGAAACTGCTGGAGTCGGTCAAATTAAACAATTTAGTCAGCAAAAAAGAAGGGATATACATATATTGCAGACTGTTTAAAAAAAAAAAATTCTTATCTATCACCATCTTACTTAGTTGCTGACCTACTTTTCGCAGTTGTGAAGTGTTTTTTTCATAGAGACACATAATTTAAATGAATGGTTAAAGGAATGCTATACTCAAGACAGTTTATGTGAAAACATAATTGCACTGTCAACACTGTCAGAAATTGTTTAACTCAGAATTTTTCATTGCAGGCCCGTCGTCACGATTTTGTTATTGGTGCGGCCAATTTGGTAGGTTTTAGTTAGAATCTAGGGGGGTACGGGGGGCATGCTCCCCCGGAAATTTTTTTATTCAAGGATGCTCTCAGGGGCGTTTTCCCGTATATTTGGCACAGTTTACATTCTGTCGCTAGAACATGTTATAGTAAAATGTTTTTTACATATTTAAGTGCGTCGTAAGTTTTAAGGGTGAAATTTAAGGTTAGCATAACGGACAGGCAGGTGTACATAAAAGATGAATACATGTAATTGATATTTGGCAAATGAAAAATAAACAAAAACTGATGCTGTTATAATTCTTTTAAAGTTTAGATGCATTTTTATCTGATAATTATTGTAAAACAAATACAAGAAATATTACAGTATGTGGATTATTGTTTAACATAAATCACACAATTGTATAAGCTTAAATAACAATCGATGCAATGATGGAAGAATATTGTACATTACGAGTCAACAATAAACGCTTTTTGTTTAGCAGTAACTTGTATTTTGTTCACAATAATCTTACAAAACACAGAGTCTCATTTTATGTAAATTTTCCAAAAACACATCGCCGTCGTTCTCTGGTGGTAATGAACTCATTGGCAATTACACGAACCTTGAGTGAATCTGTCCTGTACTTATATGAATATGTAACACCATTTGATTGTTCAAGCCTACTTGAGACATTGTCGATCTCAGGTATGTCTTTATTCATCTGAGCTCCGAGAATGTCCTTTCACTGTTGGCATTAGTAGCAGGCATTACTAACAAAGTCTGTAACAACACAACGACCTTAGAGAACAGTGCTTGTTCTAGCACCGACTGTTTTGACACAAATTTCAAAGCATCAGGTAGAGTAACAGTACTTTTTCTGATTTGTCAAAATGTGAACGTAGCAGCTGAAGCTGACCTCTAAGATGTCTCGGTAAATATCTATGCCATAGAAATCACAAACAAAACCAAGTTTTCTAGTGAACGCGGTCTTCAAAAGTTGTGCGGCCTTAATAAGTAAATCCTCCACGTTCTGAAGTACGCGATATCTCGGTTGGTCAAATCTCTCTTTAACACTGGCCATGGCAAGATCGATTGCTTCAAATTACTTAAGCAGGAACACTGCACTGTAATTATGTAATAGAGTAAATTAAATGAGTTTATTAGTGAATTTATTTCAGGAGTTGAATGAAAATATATTATGCGAGCCTCTGGCGAGTATAATATTTTATTCAACGAGTTCAATAAATTCAGTAATGAACTTACACGAATTTAATATTCTGTTTATGACATACCAAAAATAAGTACCTTTTGAAGTGAAAAACAACCATTTTTCATTGACGCCCATATGGATAGAAAAACGCTAAAATTTAGTGTGTATAACGCAAATGACGTCAAAATATATTTTCACGGCCGTCAGAGCTCCAGATAGCGTGCGTATAAGCGTAAAATACGCATAGAAAATCTAAAATACGCATCACTTTCAAAATTCGTGCGTCACAGTTACGCACAACAAAATGAAAATACGCTCGTATGTCAAAATTTATGCGTAAAAGAATAGAAGTGTAAACATTTGATATGTAGAAAGAAAATGTTTTGAGCATAAAAATACAATATATTTCCATTTTATTGCATTGAAAACTAAAAATTCTGTTGTCAACAACGCATGTTAAAAACGAAAGTAGCAGGAAATACAGAAGGGAGGTAACTCCCGTAGATCTATCAACCTGTGAAATTATTGAAGAAATTTGTGCCAGATAATCATCGTAGGAGTTAACACAGTATTAAGTTTGTTTAGGCATCTATTGACATACTTATGCCTCAATATAAACAAAAATATATTTTAATTTCTTTAACTTTTGTTGTTAGAACAAAATAACATGTTTTTTACCTGCAGTTTTGTACTCAATATTTTCGTACCCAGTCTACAGTTACGGACAATTTTCTCTCAGACCAAGACTTTTTTCAAGGAAAGATAAAAAAAATCTTGTTTATGTTCTTTTATTCTAATTTCAACTATAATTGTTCAAACTGGAGTACATGATAAGGTACATGCCAACAAAAATAAAGAAAGAAAAATATTGACTCCTAGAAAATAAAATAACTTGAGGGCATCCACTAGAGGAAGTTTTGGAGTCATTTACTCCTTCATTTGGCCTGTGACTTCCGAAAATCAATACTTTCCTTCTTTACCTATATAATGTGACTTCCAATATCAGAGATTTTGAAGTCTTTGACTTCCAAATTTTGAAAATGGAAGCCCTGATAATTTTGCTGTGTATCCTAAACTTGAGTTCCAGTATACTCTGGAAGTCTGACTTTACATGGCATGTTTTGTATTGTTTCACATTAAATCAGTATTTAATTTGTAAAGGTTTTTCTTAAAAAAAAAGAAAATAAACAAACAAACAAACACAACAATAAGTTTAATTTGTTTATAAAAAATGCAAAATGCTTTTTTGACAGATTTTACCCCTTAAGTTTTTCAGAATTTGCATTTTACCCCTCACTCTAAATTTTGAGGGGTAAAAACCCCTTGGCCAAAAAAATTATCTGGAGCTCTGGGCCGTGCAATAACATTTTCACGGAGTCCCAAAAACAGCACGGATATGTGATAAAAATATGACTTTTGAACAGTTGGCGTGTACGATCAATAAAATGTTATCAAGTTCTCAGAGAATTCAGGCATACTAGTTTAAGATATTCATAATGCAAATGTTACCGCGTAGTGCATAAGGGGCCAGTTAAGTGTCAAATTGCTAATCAGTGATGTGTGTTTTTTTTTTTTCGTTTTTTTACTCATTTTTGGCCAAAATATTGGTCCGGCCAGGGCCGGACTATCGACGACGGCCTTGCATTGGACAAAAAAATAAGGGCAAAAACTAAATACAGACAGATATCTGATCTATGTAACCTTAAATTACTTAATAATTATATAAATGTTGAATAAAATGCATTTTGTGGTTAAAATTGTATAATTTGTCCAATGAAATCCTTCCATTTTTCCTAGTTTTGTGGTATGCTTAGTATTATCTACTCTGCAACAACTAAATGAACTTGTCATTATATTTTACTAGTATACTTTCCTATTAAATCAGCTTATCATACTCTAGATGTGTCAATATTTAAAACATTTTTTCAACCATTAAATAGGTAACTAAGTGTTTGTATATAAACAAAAGTGATCAGTGTTAACATGTGTCGAAAATTTATTTTATTATAATTAAAATATTTATACCAAGGAACGGTTTTTTGTGCAAGCACATGGTAATAGAATTTATATTTTTACGCCGAATCGTTAAAGATCATTTTCTGTACTGTACATGTATTATGATAAAAAACTGATTTTCACCCGGAAATAAATACAGTACCCCGTAGTTGAGTATCCGAACAGTGCTACACATTGATGTAAACAGTGTTTATTTCATTAACGGTAAATATGTGTGTTCAGCATTTATGTATGATTGTTAATTGTTTATTTAATTTAAAATTGCTGCAATACCTGTTCAGGAAAGTATGTTTGTTTCAATAAAAACGAAAGTTTAGCTTTAGTCTTTCTGGTTTGTTGTTGTTGTTTATCTGTTTAATTACGAATAAATCTGTAACCACATGGCCATTTCATCCATCGAAGGCAATCATAATTGTGCAGTCAATCCGATTCTTATTTACAAGCACTTTAAATTAGGGTGCTATATAAAGCTTGAAATAAACCCCTTCCCCTGATGAAGAGGATGGATGGCCATCCCCCAAGAAAAAGAAAATCTTCATGATTTATAACATAACATAACATAAGTGGGGTCGGTATATTTTGCAGACAGCATTTGCAGACGAATTAAACGTAGATCTCGAGGGATTGCTGACAATTTTATAGGGGGTGTTTTAAATCTTTTGTCGTAAGGTGTGAATGGGAAAGATACTGATTTAACTAATACAAGAAAATAGTAGTATCTACAAAATAAATATAAATTTAAGAACACAATTTGGAATGATAGATAATCTGAATTTTGCAGAGAGTATGTTTACTGAATGTTACAGACAAGATACATAAAAACAAAATATGAAATAATTGGTGAAACTAATGAAAATCCATATTTTGCAGAAAGTATTAAGATTGAATTTTGCAGACAAGTTAAAAAAACACAAAATATGAAAAGATATGGGTGAAAATTGTAAATCAGTATAATGATATAGATTGCATTTTGCAGACAAGTTAATTAAGCAAAGAACAAAAGATAAAGTGATAGATGAAAATGGTGCACATGTATATCATTACAGTGCAGACAGAATTGATATTGAATTTTACAGACAAGGTACACGAAGAAAAAATATGAAATAATTGGTGAAAATAAACAAAGTCTGTATTTTGCAGACAGAATCAATTTTGAACTTTGCAGGCAAGCTACATAAACAACAAAATATGAAATAATTGTTGAAAATAATGAAAATCCGTATTTTGCAGACAGAATTATGATTAAATTTTGCAGACAAGTTATGAAAAGATGGGTGAAAAAAGTAAATCAGTATATATGATATAGATTGCATTTTGCTGACAAGTCAAATAACAAAGGATTTTGCAAACAAGTTAATTAAGCAAAAAAACAAAAGATAAAGTGATAGATGAAAATGATGTACATGTTTATCAGTACAGTGCAGACAGAATTATGAATTTTACATACAAGGTACATAAAGATCAAAATATGAAATAATTGGTGAAAATAAGTAAAGTCTGTATTTTGCAGACTGAATCAATTTTAAACTTTGCAGACAAGTTACATTAACATCAAAATATGAAATAATTGTTAAAAATAATGAAAATTCGCATTTTGCAGACAGAATTAAGATTGAATTTTGCAGACAAGTTAAATAAAGAACAAAACGAAAATGGTAAATCAATTTATATATTATGTAGACAAGTTAAATAAAGAGGGATTTTGCAGACAAGTTAATGTATAGATGCAATAAAAACATCAATTTTTCTCCAAAATTATGTGTAAGGCCACGTGTTAACATGGAAAAGCTCGATTTTGGGTAATTCCAAGATTTTTCGTCATTTTTTTGTTAACCTTTTACCTAATATAGGCGTGTTTTGACGGCTTTTCACTTTACCATTCAGGCCTCAAATAGTGAAAAAGCCCTATTTAGGCCCCAAACACTGTTTTTCGTTTGAGAAATGTTAAAAAAGTGATCACTTTTTGAGCGCAATTTTCTATCAAGAAGGTACATCAAGGGGGTGTCACTAAGCACTAGCCCCCCCCCCCCCATCATCGCCAAGAAAATTTTGAACTTGTTAATGGCCTCAGGTCTATTTTAGGGTAACTAGTAACCCACGCTGAAAAGCTTTTACTCTATCTCAATTCATTAAGATGTTGCAGCACTTGGAAATCAGTTTTAATTAAAGAAAAAAAAACAACAACAAAAAACAAAAACAACAGCGCAAAATAGTGATTTTTGACAGGTTTAAGACGGTCTTCGTTTCCATGACAACAGGAAATTTAAGATTGAGCATGCTGTTACAAGGCTAAGGTCCAGACAACATGTGTGCAAAGTTTGATCAGTCTTGAAGCGTTTTTATAGTTTCAGAGCAGTTTGAAATTGTAACAGGAGGTTTTTCAATGAAAATAGCCATTTTTCGCAATATAATCATGCGCTAAAAGGTTAAGATCGAAAAGAACAAAATATGAAATAATCGGTGAAATTGAAAATAATGAAAACCCGTATTTTGCAGACAGAATATAAGATTGAATTTTGCAGACAAGTTGACAGTTGACAAAGAACAAAATATTAAAGAAAAAGTCAAAGTGGTCAATCAGTTTATTTAATATAGATTGCATTTTGCAGACAAGTTAAATAAAGAATAATTTTGCAGACAAGTCAAGTAAGGGACAAAACATGATATATTTTTGGCCATGGTTTCACATTTTAGGTGAACATTTTAAAGTAGAAGTGTCTATATTTTTTCCCTGCAAACTTTAGACTTTACAGAAATCCAGAATGCATGCTGCACGTTAGGGTGTTATTAAAATTGTAATCGAACTATAATACGAAATGTTGCATTTTCCCGTATACATTTTAAAAAAAAATCATATTTCTCTTTTCTCAAAAATTTCAAACTTAAACATATATGCAATGGCGTTTTAAACTTGTTTGTCTCAATTTTTAAAAAGATTGCATTATCAGGTGCACATTCTTATATCTTAGACATTGCACGTAAGCCCCCCCCCCCCCCTTAACAATCAAATGGCTTGGGCGTTTTGGGGGTTTCATGAATGATGGAATGAATGAATGAATGAAAAATCAAATAAGTATCTGAATAAATAAATTCTATTATTATTTGTCATAATGCAGGTTATATTTAATTAATAAGAGATTAATACACGGCAGAGTAGGGCCGGAAGGTGATAATCGGCCCGCAAAATGAATAATGGCCCCGAGGGCCGATTATCACATTCCGGCCCTACTCTGCCGTGTATTAATCTCTTATTGTTTCAGTTTGTGCACGTGAACATGTTCTGCGGGCTGATAACTAGTTCTCGGCCCCGGGCCGCAAACTCATAATAGGTCACGTGACACTCATAATCAGTTGAAATCATAGGCAATTTTGTTACTATATATAGTAACATGTTCTGCGGGCTGATAACTAATATACTTCTTGATTCTACTGCTTTGAACACACAAACAGTAAACATCTCTGTACAGAACAGTCGAAGTGTAAACAAGAATTTCAATATATAGTAACAAGTGTATTAATAAGAGGTTAATACACGGCAGGAGAGGGCCGGAAGGTGATAATCGGCCCACAAAATGAATAATGGACCCGAAGGCTTTAGCCCGAGGGCCATTATTCATTCAGGGCCGATTATCACCTTCCGGCCCTACTCTGACGTATATTAATGTCTTTAATACACTTTGTTTCAAATATAGTAACAAAATTGCCTATGATTTCAACTGATTATGAGTGTCACGTGACCTATTATGAGTTTGCGGCCCGGGGCCGAGAACTAGTTATCAGCCCGCAGAACATGTGCACGTATAGTAACAAGTGTATTAATAAGTACAATAATAGTACTAGTCCTATAACATACGATGTTTCCATTAGTACTACAGAAACGTCTTATGTTATAGGACTAATAATCTTACTAAAGATACCACTAAAATTTGTGTTGGATGAATATACACCAATTCGCATTAAAGGACGTCACCGATATCGTATATTTTTATTCGTCTTGATTCAATCAGGATGAGTGATGTGCTTTGTTAGTATTTCAAGCGTTTATGTGATACAAGTAATTGGTCAGAATTTACCAGTTTACCTCAGGTTAGACTGAGATCTTGAGTTTTTTGACAAAATGGAAGTGTTATCTTCATTGATAAGAGTTACAATTCCAAATTATTTGAGGAATGTACCAGTTCCTACAAGCATCATGGGATTCGCAAGGTTGTCAGGTACGGAAAAAGAAAAAAAATGTGAGATGTAAAATAATGAAAACTTCATTTTCAATTTCATCTATAGTCATACCATGGCAAATTCAAATTCAAATATGTACATTGGGGGATCATTCAGTGCAAGGTTATAAAAATTCTGTTTGTCATTATTTATATTTTTAATATGAAATTAGGTGCTACCTATGGCGCGGAAAGTTCTTATGAACTATGCTTTGAGCATAACATGCAGTCTATGCGAACGACTTATGAGTTTTACTGGACAGTAGGTCCTGTAAACTGAATTTTTTTACTGGACCAAACATGATTTTACTGGACCGAAAAAAACCTGATTGGTATAGCATTTTGAGTCACTTGATAAGTGTCAGCACTCAGCAGTCAAATCTTTTTTCACCACAATCAAAATGTAAACATATATAAATATTGTTATACTTGTATTCAATGAATTTTGCTATTTAAACTTTAATTACATACAGACTATATACTAGCAAAATGAGAGGGTAAATTTCAGCAAAAGTCTGGCATATGTAAACAGAATTATATATATCGGTAATTCAGTGAAGCTGACAGATTAATTGTTCAATGATTTTGGTACCTTCACAGTACAGTTTAATTTTTGTCAACATCTTGGACGATCTTTCATATCCCTAATTCGCTGCTAAACACCAGTTGAGCACATGTGTAATTTAGCATGATTACTCTAAGTCTGTGGTTTAATGACGTAAATTTTTCCAATGAATACACATAGCAGGTGACCTTTCACATCTGGGCCGCTTATGTAATTTAACCGGCCGCTTATTGACTTTTAATTGTACTAGTTGTCGGATATTTTTATCTTACGTTGTTACATAAAAGATTGCATTATGAGAATGCATAACAGTTGACAAGTATTGCACGAGCTTATATTGTGTAATGACAACACTTTGATATGTTTTGAATTTAGGTAAATGATCGGCCTTTGCAAAATGTTGAATGTAAGGTTTTTATAAAACCTTAATTTTTTACCGGACCGTCGGGCCGTCAATACATAAATTTTTATCGGACCTTCTGATTTTTTACCGGTCAGGGCCGACGGTTCGACGGTCTTTCGGAAAGACTGAACATGTTTAGTGTACATGTAAACCAGATCTATCTTGCAGGTATTTTGTACTGCAAACAAAACAAATAAATTGGTGTTGTTCAACCTATAGTCGGAAAAATCTCCAAACGTAAAAGGGGACCATTGCGCACGCGTCGGCGTTAGTCCTATAAATATGACGTCGCTTTGAGATATTTTTGCTTCTGGGCAAAGCAATGTCATATCGAAATTGCTCAAAAACCCATAGCATGTTCCGCCAGAAAATCGGGCGGAACGAAAAACAATGAAGACAGCGTGTATTTACATAATTTTTGACCTATTTATGAACAAAACTAAAAAGTAAATACCTTTTGTCAAAAAAATTAAACTGTCACATCCGAAAAATCATGATTAAATCCTCTCATGTATTTCAATTCCTTTTACAGCCGATAAACAAATGGCGGCCGTAAAGTGCGCGAAATCTGATTGGCTTATTCAAATGCAAGCGTTTAACTGAGTCAGAAGAATCTAACGGAATATTTTTTTAACGAAATAATTGCCCATGCACCGTCAGTGTGTTCGAATATATTTTTCCGTTCAAAAATTTGGAATCAATCTGTAAAGCACCTTGCTTAACCAGTATGGCTGATAGACTAAAATAGATTGATGTTTATATTTTATTTTAAATTGATAAGTACATTGTTTGAGAGTTTTTGTGTATGATTGAGCATGAAATTGAAAGAAAATATGATAAGCTTTTGAATAAAGCTTGATAGGCAAGACAATAGACATTTTTTGATTTTTTTATGATGCTATGCGTTTTTGAGCAATAACTATTAGACGTCAGGCTTGACCGACAAAAACTATAACAAGCCTGTGACGTCTAATATATTGGACTAGCGTCGGCGTCCGAAAAATCCCGTCCGCCATTTTTATTAATCTCTAATCGCAGTTGTTGTTTTAACGTTATTTTAATGTGCTAATTTATCAAAAAGGATATGTTAAAGTAACTTTTTATATTTATAATCGTTACTCTAGTTCTTATCAATGAAATGCATGTTTACTTTCTGATTTTGCACATCATTCTCTCACCGGAAGTGTTACTTAGCAGACGCTAGCAATAGTCTAAATTATGTAGAAGCTCATTAAAAGCGCTCTGATATCTATATTTAGCTCAAAAGGATTTCAAAATGGCGGCGCCCAGTTAACTAAGGATTTTTTCACAGCTCATTAGGTATAGGATATATATTTTTTTGAAATTTTCATTTACTTTTAATTTGATTTCATTTGAATTGATACGCGTCATACATGTTATCTAAGAGCGCTACAGCACTTTCCACTTTGTCACCAAGGTCACTTTTAATGGTGAGTGTAAAATCATGGCAGCAATACTATCAGTGATTTTTTTTCCAATTTTAAAAACAACTGGTGGCTTTCTGAAGGGGAAAAAATAGCGTGATAAATCAGAAAAGGGGAAATCTGAAATCAAATTCCAACAACTGAGAATGGAATTTACCCACACATTTGATAAAATTTTCAATTTCAATTAAATTTAACATGCATGGTACATAGGAAAGGCTATATACAGGGACAGCTTTCTGATATAAGTCAGATGCTAAGTCATTGCACTAGTAAAAAAGTGCACAGGGCATTTAGGGGGAAAATACTAGCATTTTTAGGGGAAAATATACTTATTTTGGGCAGGGGAAACAGCCTTTATTTGGCTGTAAAATGTAGGAAAAAAAATCACTGACTATGCTCAGTCACAGATACAAATCACCATAAAAGGGTATAAAAATCCATGCCATACCCGGTGGAAAATCACAGAGGTTTGCCGTGATTAATATCACATGTAAATGTTCACGTACAATGTAGTCTTCACTGTCTTGTTAGAAAAAAAATCAATAACACTTATCTATTTCTTGAATAACAGTCATATGATAATTTCATCTGTATATGTATAATCGGTAGTTTTGAAGTTCCATTTTTGTAAAAATGAAAAAAACAACAACAAAAAAACAAACAACACAGTCAAATACACAAGTAATTACACTCTGACGCAAGTGAAATCGTATGCAAGAAAATTTTAATTCAAACATTACATGTTTCAGGTTTTATTTCATTTCTATTTTTCAGATTAATCATTTAATATAAACAAAGCAGACTTAAAGGGTTTCCACAATCAAACACTTATGATTAATAGTATGTCAATAATTGACACCATCTATAATTATCCAACAAAAATATTTTCCTCGTGAGCAATAATCAAACATGTGTTATCATTTCTCAAAAAAATAATTGATGACAGTTTTTTTTTCTGATCTATAAAAAAAAGGTGGAAGTCAACTGAGTATGTACACTCTTTGATGACAACATGTGTGTTAGCAACAAAGATTGTTTTGATGAGCCGACTTGTCAGAGGTCATCTTGTGTGTAAATTTTGTGTATGTAATTTAACAATGGAAACATATTTCATTTATTTATGTATGCTATTTTGTCCGCAAGTGTTTTTGTGTATTTTTACACTATGGATTTTGGACAATCCACGATGAATTTCTGTAACAAAAATAAACAATTAAATATTCTAAACATTTAAGACAGGGTTGCAAATGTCCGCCCTTCAAAAATTTTAGGGGACAAATGTTGCACATATATGTTAATTTTTACAGACATACTGTGTGTAATTAATTGAATAATGATCACCAGAGAGAGTGAAATGTCACTGCAATATTTCACAATGATATCCCACAGTGCACATTTCACCCAATCGGGTGATGAGAGCAAAGTCACAACTGTCCCAGGGACATCGCAGTGACAATCCACCCGTAAAAAAATCGTGGGCATCAGCAGACTTTGTAAAAATTGTTAAAGCTGTACTGTACTTAAATTGTCAGTATATGTGCTTGTGCAAAGTCTAAATGAAACAATACAATGTACATTATGAATCTTATACAGAGGCTGAATCAACAATCTTTTCTCTATGCTACCCGTCCCTAGATTTGCCACTAAAATGCCACCCTTTTCAATGGTGGAGTATTTAGACAATTTTCCACCAATAATGCCACCAAAACGCCACCCAAATCATGAAAATGGTGAAAAATTTGAGCAGGACTGATGTTATATAATTTTCCAGTTAATTCCACCTTTTTTACACTAAATGCCACCAATGAGTGGAAAATTGGTGGAGTATTTAGACAAACTTTCACCATAATGCCACCAATATGCCACCTTAGGGTGGCAAACTCATTTTCCACTAGATGCCACTTGTTTCCACTTATTGCCACCATAATGGTGAAAAATTGGTGGAGTATTTAGACAAATTTCCACCATTATGCCACCATTGAGTGGCAAACTTATTTTCCACCAAATGCCACTTATTTCCACCTTTTGCCACCATAAGGGTGGAAAATTGGTGGAGTATTTAGACACTTTTCCACCATTTTGCCACCAGATAGTGGCAAATTCAGTTTCCACTAAATGCCACCTATTTTCACCCTTTCAGAAATTTTCCACCTTGTGGGTGGCAATAGCTGGAAACTGCTTGAAAGTCACCCTGTACCCTAAATTGGAAACAAACAAATTTTAAAAATAATCCTTTTTAATGTTTCCATATGAAATTATATATTGTCTCAAAAAATAGCAAAAACATTAGTCCATTTATTTTCTTCAGTTTATCTTGCTATTCCTGGACGGTTTGAGTTCAGTCCTTTAGGTTGTCGGCAACTTTTCGAGCGCACAATCTAAAACAAAAAAAAATTATGAATGATTAATAAATAATTAAAAAACATAAGCTTACATTTTTATATGACTATTGGATATTTCTATATTCAATTTGAGTGCATAGATATGATTAAAACACTTAAAAAAACAGCACTGCAGATGTGGAAGAATCAGTCTTTTCTTATTTACTCCAAGGCAGAAAATATACGCAGAATAAAAAATGATATTTTCATTCAGTTCATTAGTTACCTTCCAAGAACTTAAGTTTTGCCTTGTCTGCACAAGAAGGTCTGGCGTCAGACTCTCTGTTCCCTTTCCTCATGCCAAACAATGAGCGGCCTTTAATCTCTTCTATATTGAATAGCATTCTGAAGAGCTTTGCTGTACCTTTCTCTTTTGAGGCATATGGCTTCAGTTCTGCCATCACTTGGTCCTACAATATGATTAACAATATCAAATAAGTAAAGACAGAAAATGATTATCAATATCTAATATGTAAAGACAGAAAATGAAACACTTTTATAAGACCTTGGTATATGTATACAACTCTAAAATTTTAAAATAAGAAAGAAATAAAGAAATACAAACACATCAACACAGTGCAGGTTTGAGTAATTAATAATCTTCCAGTTTCAGTTCTTAACGAACCTTCATTAGGATAAATATTTGATAAAATTTTCAAGCTAAAATGTACAAAAACTCTAAAATTTGTAAAACAAAATGTAAATGCAAATTAAAGTGTCATAAAGAGTTTGAATTAAAGTAGGTTTGTAAATAGTGACTAATAGCTATATTTATCGAGAACTGAAAAGTGTCTTATTGGGTACTGTGACACTTCTTTCCTATTAATTCTAAAATAACTTTGAATTAACAAGATACCTTTGTAAAGCCACTGAAGATCAAATGTGTTGCTCCAGGCTGCTCCCAATTGCTTTGTGTCTGCAAAATGATAATTCTTATTTAATGCTGTTTCTGTTATTAACTGTCATTCTCCTAATAGCATGTTACTCTAGACTGTCTAGTTATGGTTATATAATTATCTACTGCACCATGAAAGCTGAATTACAACAATGAAGGAATGAAACTTACTAATAAATCAGTTACTGTTAATCTGCTCCACATGTGACACACAAGGAAAATTGTTTATAGCATGAAAGTTGTAGTAATTTGTACCTCAGGTTATCTATTATAAGTTTGATTGATGTAATATTGTACATAATGATATTGTACTTACTGATTAATTTCTATAATTTTTTTCTCAAACTTAAATTTTCTAACATATTGTATTTAAGAAATGATGAAGATCTTCCTACATTCTTTATATTCCTACATTCTTTATATGTACATTGTACATGCAGCTTTCTTTTTAGTCAAGTTACAAACAAAACAAATATAAAACACAATTTTATACAATACCACTTCATATTTTTACTGTCAAAAAACTAAACAGTTTCTGCATAAATAACAATAATTATTGTATGTAAAAGTTGTTTACCTGAAACTTTGACTGGGAATGATTCTGCTGTTTATCTTCTTGTCTACACATTCACACTTCAGTTAAAACTTCTCATTTATATTTACCACACAAATAAGACTTAAAATGTTTTCTTTGAGAAATCAAAAATATGCACCCTTACATTTTAAACAAAATATCTCCAGAATTGCTACAATATCAATAATTTCCTTTGTGTTTGCAAGCTTTAACTGACCTCAATTCCTTTGAATTCAAAACTTTACAACGGTGTAACTGCATGGACAGTCCATTATAATTTTAAATTGTGAGGGATTTCCAAAAACCATAGCACCCATCATTTTTTTTTTACATTCATTTGAATGTATAACTATATATCTAATACCTAAATAGATTGAGTAGAAATAAGCTTTTTAAAAATAATTTAGCATGCTATTTTAAGACAATTCTACATAAAAAACATGTATAATGTTGGCCTCTCCCAAAAATAATCAAATGGAACATTCTGGTCAGCATGAGTAAACTATTAACCCCCATTCATAGATTACTAGATAAGAGGGCAGTAGTTTTATCAGATCTGAGATGTATGCTGTGTTGTTAAATCTTAGAGGATGCAGTATTTACTAGCTAGTATTTACTTATCCTGATTGTAAGAAATTTATCAGACATTATGACTTATTTACTTTTCACACATTAATTTTACAATAGATTTAAAGCCTCTGAAAGCATAGCACAAAAGATGTTAGAGACAATAATTTTAAACTCCACATATAACTAAATCTCATTTATGAGAAGTTACAATGCCAAGGAACCATAACTTTTATTGCATGATTTTGGGTTTATTGCCATTTTTTACTTCTCTATGCTTAATTTTTGTCTTGATCATTAAGCTTAAAAAGTACTGGAGATATTAATTTGAAACTTCACAGATATAGATCTTTTTGAGTAATGTGCTGTGTTTAAGAACCATAACTCTTTGCATACTTTTGGAGTTATTGCCCTTTGCATTTTTCACTTTAATTATTGTTAGCATTACATGAAAAGTGTTAGTACTCACCAGATATCAGTTTAAAGTAATATTGAAGAGACAATTTATTATGTCAATTAGAAGAAAAGACAAAAGTCAAACTTTATTCAAGATTGACATTAAATATCATAGAAGAAGCAACAAACTTTATGCAGAGATATGCATTTTCTGGGCATAGAAGAACATTTCAACTATTTAATGTACAGATTATAACTAAAGAACAAAGTACACTTTAAAAGCCGTAATTTTATTTTACAAGCATAGAATGGAACATAAACATTTTGACTTGAAAGTCAAATTTTACATCCCTAAAGAAAAGTACTGCCATAAAAAATGGGAAGTTAAGTAACCCCATACTTTTCTAATTTTTCCTGATCATAATTATATGTGTTTAACGCCTGGAAAAGTGATTTTAAGTAGAGTTTCCCTTTTCGACTAAAAGTTATTCACAAAATTTTCTAAGTTTTTTTCCACTATTTTGCCACCCAGAAAATAGTTAGAGTTTCACTTTTCCACTAAAAGCCACTCATTTTCCACCTTCAAAATAAACTAAGTTTCATTTTTCACCAATTTCCACCCTTTTGCCACCATAAAAAAAGTCTATGTTCAAATTTCCACTCAATGCCACCTAAATGCCACCAAAGGATAGTGGCATTTGGTGGCAATTTTGCCACTACAGTGGAAAAAGAGTGGAATTTTGTCATTTTCCAGTTAATGCCACCTTTTTTACACTTAATGCCACCCTTTTCAGTGGAAATAGCTGGCAAGTAGTGGCAAATCTAGGGACGGGCATTCCCATTTCAATCGCTGTAAAAAGGTAAATACACATACTTCTTTGCAGAATTCCCATGTTGAGATTTTATCAGTGCGGATAATATGGTGTTTTACATATCAACGTCTCACATTTTATCCCATGTTTCTTCCATAGCAATAATGTTGCCCTTTATGCCATATATCCATAAGAACTCGTCTATGACCCACTATTCCATTTCTTCCGTATTCAAATCCCATGGTACCAGTCTGGCGCATACTAAAAATTAAACATGTTTCCCCGACAGTGAGTCGTCAAAGATTGTTGTAACACAATCTACAATATTAAAACTAGAATATATCATCTTTCTTTATACCAAGAAAACGTGATTTAGAAACTCATTTTTAGCTCTACTATTCGATAAGAATAAGTAGAGCTATTGCAGTCATCCGAGCGTCCGCGTCGGCGTAACCACTTATGTTAAAGTTTTTGTAATAGTTCAAATATTTTCAAAGTCCATAGACATATGGCTTTGAAACTTTGCACACTTGTTCACCATCATGACCCCAACCTGTAGACAGGAGGAGGTAACTCTATCAAGCATTTTGACAGAATTATGCCCCTTTTTCGACTTAGAATTTACGTTAAAGTTTTTGTAATAGTTCAAATATTTTCAAAGTCCATTGACATATGGCTTTGAAACTTTGCACACTTGTTCACCATCATGACCCCAACCTGTAGACAAGAGGAGGTAACTCTATCAAGCATTTTGACAGAATTATGCCCCTTTTTCGACTTAGAATTTACGTTAAAGTTTTTGTAATACATGTAGTTCAAATATTTTCAAAGTCCATTGACATATGGCTTTGAAACTTTGCACACTTGTTCACCATCATGACCCCAACCTGTAGACAAGAGGAGGTAACTCTTTCAAGCATTTTGACAGAATTATGCCCCTTTTTCGACTTAGAATTTACATTAAAGTTTTTGTAATAGTTCAAATATTTTCAAAGTCCATTGACATATGGCTTTGAAACTTTGCACACTTGTTCAACATCATGACCCCAACTTGTAAACAGGAGGAGGTAACTCTATCAAGCATTTTGACAGAATAATGGCCCTTTTTCGACATAGAATTTACGTTAAAGTTTTTGTAATAGTTCAAATATTTTCAAAGTCCATTGACATACGGCTTTGAAACTTTGCACATTTGTTCACCATCATGACCCCAACCTGTAAACAGGAGGAGGTAACTGTATCAAGCATTTTTTTTACTATCAAGCACTAAGAATAGTCGAGCGTTGCTGTCCTACCGACAGCTCTTGTTTTCTGAGTTATGCAATGGGTAATTTCCGCAACTTTTCAGGTGATTTCTTAGGGATATCCCTATCAATCATTTATGTCTCATATAATTGACCACTGTAGACAAAAGGATGTCATGACTTTCTTTCATTAAACTAGTCGCTTCTTCAATTTGAATTGTACCGAAAGAAATGGTGAAAAAACTGTGCACTTTGATGACATTGGCACTTTGATGACACTTGTTTTAATTTGTGTTTTCTAATCAAATGGATAACATAATCAGTTTAATGAGATTACAACCAGGTTAACGACTCCTAGGTACTTTGGACTATATTTTTCTTTCAAATATTTAAATGTTTCTATTGGGATTAAAAGAGAGAGAGAGAGAGAGAGCGTAGTTAACTTGTCAAGTTGTTCTATTACAGTCAGACAAATCTTCCTGTTGGTTTTAACATATTTATTTAAGCTCAATTGCGAAACAAATTCTTGCAACTTTTATTAATAACTTTGTAGTCCGCTTCCTGGATTAAACCAGTAGTGGTGTCATATGAAGAAACATGGTCGTTACCCAATAAGGGCTTGAACCCATGATCTCTGCGTTGAGAAGCCGACACATTAACCACTAGACCTGCGCTCCTCTTGAATCTTTCTTGTTTTTTCTTCTTTTTAAAAGATAGTCTTATGTTGATAGTAATTATTAATGTGGAACGAAAATGTAAATACTGTTATTATTTTTCTAATGTAAATTTATTCTTGTACTGAAATTTTGTCGGAGGACAAGGGTAGATGTTTTTTAAAGCAAAAAGAAGACTGCTTCTATTATCGCAAGGTCACTGAGTCATCATAAAAGTAAATTGAATTTGAAGAACTCCTGGAAACTAACGAAAATGGTTCGAAAAATTAATGAATCTCAGTTCAATATTGCGAAACAATATCAAGCACCCGAGATGTTGAAAATAGTCAAGCATGTCATCTATATGAATGTACAAAGTAAAATAAACATAAACTTTTGTGAAATAAATTTTGTTTAAGTTTGATCTTTGTAACACAAATACACTTAATGAATTATTTTCTCCTCAAAAACTAAATATAGAGTTCACTTTAGCATAATAATAAGGGCATCAAAATGGTTACCTTTTAAGGGGTTGCTCGGACCCATTATTAGAGAATTTATCCATTGATTTTTTTCATACACCATTTTTACACAGCAAGTACTATTGAATGCTTTTTTTTGCTTGTTAAAAGTTAAGTATGGTATTTACTTTTTAATCATGTAATAGTTGTTCAAACACAACCTGTTCAAAAGCCAGATTAAAGTGATTGAAAAGATTATGGATAGGCTGTTGAGGCCCATCTTGATATTTTTTGTTGTATTTCAGATTTATGATTTTCA